ATTGTGCTACATAGACTTGTTTATGGGTTGGATTGGGTTGGGCTTTGCCTTTACATTAATAGAATATGTTCAGGTCCAAGCCCCATGCCCGACCCGACCATCGGGCCAAGGTCTTGAGCCCGAGCCCAAGCTTGGCCCTCGTATAAAGCCCAAAGCCCGAGCCCAGACAAAAATTTGGAAAAAAAACTTTTTACTTGTTAGTTTAATTAAAACTATTTTATTTATATTAAAATACCTCAAAACCTGAAAAAAAAATGAAAGCTCTCACTACTACTTGAAAAAGGAGAATAAAGATAAATAAAAAAATATTATATATATGTTTTTTTATTATATAATACATTATCAAGTCAGGCTCGGGCTCGGGCCAAGCCTTTTTTGAGAAAGCCCAAGCCAAGCCCGAAAACAGGTCAGGCCCAATATTTTAGGCTCGAGCCTAAGCTTGTATGCCTAAAATTCTATCCAAACCTGACTTAGATCGGGTTGGGTCGGGCTGTCGGGCTATTCGACCCATGAACAAGTCTAGTGCCACATAGTGGGGCAGCATAAATCTCAAAAAGTTACCCAAAATAAAAATAAAAAATTACCTCAATCGGGCATCTGAGTGCAAAGTTATGGCCTCCAGGAATTTGCATACACATTTAATGTGCAACCTGTAACCCGATCTCCGGGTCAGCGGGTCTAATGGCTCAATGGTCCAACCATTTGGGTTGGATGGTTTTCACCAAGTCAATAGTTTTTGACCATCCACTAGGTTTTAACAAAACAAGACCTGGAATCCTAGGCCGATGATGGTTTGAAAGGTTCAACTGGCTGAGTCAACTGTGGGTTGACAACACTAATCTTTGTTTCACGTGTTTTGTTTTTTGTTTTTTTCTTTCTTATCATTGAATCTCAAATGAAAGATTGAAGTGCAACCATTAATAATATTATTGTTAATATATACATGAAAGAAAAAATTCTCAAACTACTCTTTGTATTTGGGTTTAGGGGTGCTCACGGTTTAGTTAACCAAACCATGGGTTATTTTTCTTTACCAAACCAGTCCTACCTGTTTTTCCATATCCCCAAACTAACACCGAACCGATATCACTGATTAATCGATTGATCAATTTCGGTTTTTGACCATTTTAGTTCTTCCTTTTTTTATATTTATAACATATGTTACAAATAAATATATGTAATATATTATATTATAAATACTATAAATATATATAATAATGTAATATATTTATATATAAAATATAGATCATATGTGAGATATATTTAAAAATATATAATATACATATAAATACATATATCAATCATTTCGATTAATTGCTGTTTTTTTCTCTGTTAAGTGGTTAACCAAAAACCGAATTGGTCCTTAATTTTTTAGAAATGCTGAACTGATCAGTTTGCTTAACCGCATTTTTTTGGTTTGCTTAGTTTGATATTTTTTTGGTTTTTTGGATTTTTATGAGCACCACTACGGGTTCGACCCATAAGCATAATATGTGTAGCTTTTTTTCTCAACTTAATTCGGAGAGGGTCATTAAGCAAGTCAATACAAGGAAATCAAAGCCATAAAAATATAGCACATTGTATCAATTTGTTGTTGATCTCAACTAGTTAGACCATCACCGACCAGTCTAGTTCTCATAAAGCTCATCTTTTGGTATAACTTTGTTGATTTGGTCAACAAAGTAAGACCATTATTCCAAGTGTCGGCTAGTTAGACCATCCCCATCGGGGATGGGGAATCCCCAAATTTTCCCCACCATGAGGCAACAACCTTAAAAAATTTAAATTATGGATATTTTACAAATATGATTTTGGTAATTTGCGGTTATTCTAGGAATTGGATTATGACAATTTGGGGGTATTTTATAAATGAAATTGTGGGATGCTAGGATTATAAGAATGTGATGAAAACTTGTAGATATTTTAAAAATCAATATTAAATCTACAAATATTATACTAATTTACCATTGGGTTCGGAAAATTACATGCAAACCCCATCCCTAATTTGGGGCAAAAATATTTTCTTTGTCCCCACACCATCTCTACCCCGTGCTGTTTAAGATTTGAGAAAACTTGCCCAATTCGGGGTGGGGTAGGGTAGGGCCCTAGTTTTACAAGGAAATTTGCCATCCCTACAATTCCAATAATCTGTATAACTAATTAACTAACAGTAAATTAAATAACAATAAATTACAATGTTTTATGATAACTTCCAACAAATCATTGAAATTGCTATTGATTAGTAGTGATGTATAGTAAATTAACTATTTACAATCAAAATAGATTAATGTAAATTGTTTACTGTTTTAAGCCCAAATTATTTACTATGTTGAAGTAAATATAATTATCATAAATTTATGTAATTATGGTAAATTAAATTATTTTTAATTAAAAGTAAACCATTTGTTGTTAATTAATCTAAAACTAGGTATGATCGAAGTCAACCAAGTGGTCTAGATTGGTGTGGATAGACTTTATATTTTTTTCGAAATTATTTATTTAAATAATATTAGTGGATTGTTATTTAAATAATTATGAAACAGTTTTTGATAGATTAATTTCCTAATTTTTAAATAATTATTTAGTTAAATAATAATAATAATGGATTATTAACTAAATAGTTTTGGAAAATATTTTTTTCATAGATTAATTTCTTAATTTTTTAATTACTTATTTAAAAAATACTTATGATTATTAGTTAAAGAGTTTCCCTAAATTATTTCATAATTGTTAATTGTAATTATTGATTTTATAGAAATTAGTAAATTACACTAATTAATAATATCTTTTATCAATAAATCATTATTGTAAATTTAAAACAAATATTAAATTACTGTGGTTAATGTAAATTACACTAAACGTTGAAACTTTGAACATTTATTAATAACAAAAAATTATTAAATAATGGATTGTTTATTCATTTTTGGTAGATTGTTATATTATTTAATATTTGTTAAATAATGGGTTATTTCTTAAATAATTATTTCATAATTTTTTGTATAGTTTTTGGTATAATATTTTCCAAAAATTTTTACTAATTTTCATAACTAATGGATTATTTAACAATAGATTAATATTTAATAATAGATTATTTGACAATTATGGGGAATACTATGAATATATAATAAACATTGAATTCCCTTTACCGAAAATTCCCCTTATTCCCCTTTCTTTAATTGAAACCAAATCTTAACAAATTATGGCACTGTTTTTATAGGGAATTGGAGAGAATATGTAGGAATTAGATATAGAAGTGAAAGAGAGGATAAAACATATATTGGGCTAATTATGGAGAGAAGTGAGATTGTTATAGAAAGTGAGAGACGTGAGTTGGGGGGGGGGKGGGGGAGAACTCGAGGTGATTTTTTTTTTTGGTAACTTTTTTAGATCTATGTGCCCCAAGGGCCATAGGCATATATTGTCCCACTATTTTCACAAAAACCCCCTTTTTTGCCTTAATTTGTAATTTTGATTTTTTTATAAATTAAAAAATATATTAAGTATAAAAATATAACATATTTATACATTATTTATTGCTAAAGTATATATTTATACACATACATACATATGTATGTACACTTTTTTTTTGAAGGTTATATATATACATACATATATATATATATATATATATATATATGTATGTATATATACACACACACTTAATACATACTAGTAAATGTGTACGTGCATTTGCACGTGGCAGATTGGCAGTATCTCTATGACAAAACTACTTATAATTTATGATCACTTTTAATAATTCATCTATCAAAAAAATTAATTAATGTATTAAGTGGGCATTTTCTGAATAGTTATAATTCATGGTTCCAACACCCTGGCAGTTTTGGAACGTTTATAAGTGGATAGTTTATGAAGTAAGAGTAAAGGACATATATGGCCTCTTATACCCGTTGTATGCTTAGACAAAAGGGTGAAAAATGTCCAATGAAAATTCCAGAAAGAAAGAGCATTCGCTCTTTTATGGGTAGATAATTATATGCTGACGTGACACAGTATTAACTGTTCAACCCAGCCAATCAAACCGATGACCCGTGACTAGAACTGTTCATGGGCCGGGTATCCCGATGGCTGGCTCGACCCGGCCTGCACCCCGGTCGGGCTTGGTCATGTAATTAGACCCGCGGGCCTGACCTCGAGCCTAACATAGTAACCCCGACTGTGTTTTGGGCCGGGTTCAAGATTTGTCAAAAAAGCCCAGTCCGACCCGACTCAGCATTATATATTTTATAAAATATATAATATGTATTTTATATATTTTATAAAATATATAATATGTATTTTATATATTATATAAAATATATAAATAATATAATATTTATTAAAATATATATATATATTTATAATTTAATATATACATTTTTTATTTTTTTCTTTATAATCTCTCTCTATTCAGCTGCTAATAGTATGGGCTAAATTTCGGACTCGGGCCCAAATCCAGGCTTCAGGTTTTTTACGAGGGCCAGACTCGAGCCCAAGTTATAGGCCCGATGGTCGGGCCAGGCTCGGGCCTTAGAAAATTCTATTAATACAAAATGAAAGCCCGGCCCATGAACAGATCTACGTGACGTAGAGGCAAAAACAGATCGGCATTCAGGTAAATTTTTAAAACATTGTCAAATGCATACTTCGGATGAATTGAGATCTGTTCCTCAAATAGCGCGCCTCACAACGAACTCACAGCCACATCCCACCCTACCCTGTATTAGGAACGATCTCCCCATCAATAATAAATTACAAGTACGTGAGATGTTCCCTATCTGCGGCCAGGAGGTCAGCGTGAGGCGCATTCTATCAGAGGAGATTCGGACTCACTCCGGATTGGCTTCCTACACGCAAACAGTGTATATACATCTCAGCATGCATTGAGATTTGAGAACATTTTCCGTTCTTGTCAAGGGAAGATGTTCTCAATGCACGGTTGGGATGTGATATAGGGCGCATGTGAGAGCCAATGCGATCATCCAAATGCCACGCCGTGCCGTATGCTCCGGTTAACACCCAGTTTCTATCAGCGCACGTTAGCAAAATCCAGTTCAAAATGTGTCGAAAACCAGTTTTCATATAATATCTTCATGGGGAGAAAGAGGAAGTAAGAATCAAAGTAAGGTTTCCAACCATGGATTTTTGGCAGAAGGCTCGAAGTTTTGCTCAAGAAGCAGCGAAGAAATCTCAGGAAATTACACAAGAAGCCATTTCAGCAGCGAAGCGATCTCCAGAGCTAACAAGGGGAGCGGCCAGGATCTCTGATATCGTATCCGAGACAGCAAAGAAATCAAAGGAGATTGCCGCGGAGGCTACCAAGAAAGCCGATCAGATCAAGATCGAGGCATTGAAGCGAGCCGACCAGATCAAATCCCTTGCCGAGGGAATCTCTCCTCAGATTCCTGTCCCTACCATCTCCCTCATTGATTTCTCTTCTGATACTCTCTCTTCGTCTGACCTCGAGAAATTTGGTGTTACCGAAGAGCTGAGGGATTTTGTTAAGGGCATCACCATTAACACATTTCAGGATTTTCCCATACAAGGTGCTTGATTTCTTTCTTTTGGATTTTCATGTTGACTTGTCTGTGTTAGTTTACTTTGTTTCTTCCCTGAAATGTTGAAGTTTGAAGATGGGCTTCTTGTTTTAGGGTTCTGGTTGAATTTACCTGTTAATATATTAATAATTTGGAGTCCGTTGACTTTCGTGGCAATTCGCGAATAGCAGCATTTAGAAGAATAGAGGATAGTATAATATACTTAAGTCCAGTAATGCAGCTTTGAATATTTAATGTTTAATTCTCATTGGGCATCTTTCTGATGTTTTGGCATTTTGGAAGTTATATAAGAGTAACTTGCTCTAAGATTTTACTGGGTTATCTGGAAAAGGCCACTTGATTTACATTTGTAGCTGGTGTTACGTATCTTTATTGCACTTTTCCTACGCATCAGATATTTAGTAAGGGTTAACGAGAGAAGCCATGACGATTAGTCTGATTAGCTCAATTATTACTTCTTCTTTGAGTGGGGTCTCCAGAAAGGAGATATATTCTTTGTTTCCCCTTTTACATGTTATGATGAGTTCGTAATAGAAAGTTGGAAAATGGTACTCTCAAGAAGTTCTAGTAATGTCAATTTGATTTTACCAGACTAGAGTACTGAAAAATCACATATATATATTTATATTTAAATTTTTGTTCTTTTCTCCTTTCTCATCACATTCTTATGCTTACTTTCTGGACTTGCTTTACATGACATATAGATGAACCGGAGATCACTGATGTCCCCACTGTCTCAAATGTCCGGAAGGATCTTACAGAGTGGCAAGAGAGACATGCTACTCTAGTTCTCTCGACCGTCAAGGTTGTTTCTTACTTCTTATCTGAGCATCATTGTGCATACGGGATGAAATATGACTCCGTGTGTACTTTTAACTGAAATTCATAAACGTATTTCCTTCTGATTTTTGTTTTTGTTAAGAAGTAAATGTTAAGTTGCTAAATTCACAAGAGATGTTTTTGCCTCTTTTTTTTGGGTTGACTTGAGGGGAAGTAGTTATTTTCTAAATTATAGGATGGAAGTAGGTAACCTATCAAAGAAATCTAAGGAGGAAAACCTATACAATACACAAGAATAATAAATTGGGAAAGGAAGGACTTTTTCTTTAACTAGTGCTATCCATCTTAGAAAAAGCGAGGAATGCCTGCAGCTGCAAGGAAGGAAAATCCTTTTCTCTAAATAATGTCAAACACCACTCCAAACTCCCTTTTTTGTAGATGTTTAGATTTAAGTATCTTGAGCCACTGGAACCTTGAGTTCTGAACATAAGCATAGCAGAACTCTCACCACCAATTTGCAATATCTAGGCAAATTTGAATGGTTTATCATAATTCCTGGATAGGGATTTAAAGAATTAGTAAAGAAAATAAAATGATTTATCCTCAGAGACATGGTGCAGTGACTGTTTATAAGTTTTAGGAAGAAAAGGAGGATTCCAACTTCAAATGCTATCTATCTTTTCCAGTAAAAAAATGTTATCAAATGCTCTACATGGTCTTGAAATGCTTACCTCTTACCCATGTTCCTTTTGAGAATGCTCTTAATCACCCTTCATTCACAATTGATAAAAAGGTCATTCTTTATTCACTGCCATGCTTTTGGAGGCTGTGAGGATGATTTCACATGAAGAAAACATCATAATACCAATACCATGCTTATTTATTTTATTCATGTCCTCATAATTACTAGGGAATCTTAAAAAATAAAGCTGCACAGTGTTTGAAATTGCAATTTTTCTGTCTAGATACTAATGGAAGTGAAGAAAAATATATGTTTTCTTTGAAGCTCCTTGTAGACAACTTTCCATAGATTGATACATCATGCCTTGTTTTCCATTAGATGATTCTCAAAATATACCCTCTGACAAGTTTTTTGTTGCAGGAAATTTCAAGCCTAAGATATCAGTTATGTCCGCGCTTCATGAAAGAAAGGAAGTTCTGGAGGATATACTTTATACTTGTGAACAGTCATGTGGTTCCGTAAGTAATTCATCTTCTAGAGCAAACCTCCTTTTTGGCTATTGCTGGTGATAAAATGCTCTTTCGATGGATAAAAAAGTTAATTTTCTGATACTGTAAACGAATTGAAATTTGTTTTGGAGTTTGGGATTTAGATCAAAGGAATGGTTCTGCACTTTGAATTTCTATATTTTTTGCATTATCCAAAATAATTAAAATGATAACCTGCAATAAAAATTAAAGAGAGGATACCTCAAATCTCCTTCCATAAAATGCTTTACTGTCAAAACCATATTTTTTATAATGCACCTTTGTCATGCCAAATTTCATTTGTTGGATCCATTTTAATGTTGTATATGGCTGTATTACCATAGTATTGTTTATTCAATTATTCTATTATACTTTCCAGTCCTTTTTCAAATGGGTCAAACTTTTTGAATCCGGATTTATTGCCTAGCTGTTTTTTGAAATTTATCTCTATAGCGGCTGTCTTTAATCTTTTATCATCATTTACATCTAGACATATTCAAGCACATTTCCACCATATTTGCCAGATGCTGTTATTTTATTATATATAAACCCTGATTTTGGTGAATCTCAGCTTGTTTGACAGAACTGTACTGATGCATCTCCATTTTTGGTCAATTTCCCTTAACAATCCAAAGAGAGATGCATACTTGTATCATTGTATGGTATGCATTCAAATGAAGTACATGCAAACAGGATGAAAGGATTCCTTTTTTTTTCCCTCACTCAAGTTTGATATACATCATGATTAATGGGGAATATGACTAAGATTTAGATGATCACATATTGACCTTCATTTATTATTATGCATAACTGTATGTGTGATGTTGGTGTAGTTCTGGGTTCATTTGTCTGATGAAGTGATCTATGTGTTTGTATCTAGTAAAAAAGCAGCTTCATTTATTTTTTAAGTTTCCTCCTTTGTGGTTCCATATTAGATATGAGAAACAGTATATGGAAGAGGTTAAGCTGAAAGCTACAGAACAGACAAAAGATGATAAATTGAAAGAAACTCCAACAGTTGGAACAACATCTAAACCAGAAGTGGCCCAAACAAAGCAGCAAAGTAAGGGTTTAACTTCATCATCTGCCGAGCAGGACTTGGATGTATTTCTCTTGGGAGATCTTGGAAGCAGTGCTGATGAGGGCCCAGGTACTACTTGTTAAAGTTTTAATATGTGGTAGATGGCTTGACCATAAATGAAATCATTGCATCTAAGCATTTGAGAGGTTTCTTATATATATATATATTTCAAAGGATATTATGTTGATTTTCAAACTAGCTATTTCTAACTTTATAGTTAATGAGATGATTTAAGTTAAATTAACTGGGACATTGGATAAACCATCTCTGTGAGAGGGTGTTCATTAATGTATAATTACCCAGTTTAAATGGAACGCCTGTTGTGCCAACCTTAGCCCCCACAAAGCCTTGAGGTTGCATCTGTCTTCTGATTCCTAACCACTCACCCAACCAGTTTATGTTCTTTTTAACAACAAGGAGTTCCCCAAATGTTTTCTCTTTCTTTCCTTTTTTTAGATGGTAAAACTGATTGGAAGTTGTCCTTTAGTCTTTTACTGCTTTGAACCTTAGTAGTTAGCACAGGAGGTTGTCAGTTACTGGTTACTATTGATTGGTGGATCACCTTAGAATGCCACGTTTGACTCTTGATCTGTTTTTATAAAAAGGGTCATAATTCAGCAAGGGGCCCTTCGCATGTGGGACACACCTGACCAGTCGTTTGGTATCAGATGACTATACAAGGTCTGGTATAAGCGTTTAAGAAGATTTCAATCTGACAACATAGAATACACCCTCAATAAAGGTGCTCCCATTGAATTGAATTGCTTTACAAAATTAACTATCACATTATCAATTTATCACTAATCAAACTTCACAATGCAAGGAAGAGTTGGTACATGGAACTTATGGTAGGTTGTTGTCAATTCTTTGGTTAATCACTATATAGTCAAAATCTCAAAACATGGTCAATGTTAATTTTTTTTTATCCTGGTTTGATTATCTCAAAGTTGTTGGGAGCTGAAGCATAATCATAAAATTTTGTCATGGAATTGTAATTTCTGCATCCTTAACCAGACTTGAGTCTACATAGTTAAAGAAATCTACAAAGTATTTTTTGTTCCAGTGATGGTGCTATTAGCTCCTACTTTTAATTTATTGATGATCTATCTGCTATTTCAGATGCTGCAGATGATGGGGAATTTGATGATTTTGACAAGATTGTGGAGAACTCGGTTAGGCATCTTTAATATTCTTGTTTTGAATTTTAAACTGTTATTTTTATTACTTTATTCTCTTTGGACCATATGAATAAGGCCCTGGGTTGGCCTTTTGATACACCGACCAACCTAACCATGTGGGTAGGGGTGCAAGTGTACACCTCAGGCTGGTGAATTAGCATTTTACACTGCTTTTGGGCTCGGCCCTTGGCCCGGGTCCATTCAAATTTTGACAAAAGCCCAGCCCAAGCCCACTCAAATTGCACTCCTACATGTGGGGCAGACAAACTAGCTTCATTTAGTTAGTTTTGACATTGTCTGAAAACATTTTTGCTATGCGCAGGAGGATGAAGAAGAGAAGCAGATTTCAAAGGCAACTGCAGGGTAAATCAACTTTAGCCAAAATAAAAATAGGAAGGAGTAGGCGCCACTCATCCAAGAATTCAAGAAAACCATATGGTAGAGGTGAAACAGATAAGCATGGATTAAGAAGGTTGGTGGTGCCGTGGTGGTGGTGACACTGGTGAGGGGGTGATTGATGTTCCTTTGCTATATTGAGATTGTGAGATGTTTCCCTTGCCAATGCTCCGAGTAGGAGGAAAAAGGATGGAGACGGCGCTTATTTGGTGTAAATGTTAATGCTGTTCTTGTTAGTTCAAATCTAAATGTGTGTTTCTCTTGTATTGCCAATTTCATTTGACGCTTGGTCCCCTGATAGCAAGATTTTGAAAGGTTGATGTCATGTAATATTGCTTGTTCAAGTTTATGTAATATTGTTTATGTAGACAGCGCTTATTCATTATTTGTTCAAGTTTATGTAATATTGTTTCAATAGATTCCGAAGAATTTGGCGGTAAAAGAAGACTTGCAGGATATCTCTATAATCTTTAGTTCTTTACTGTATGATGCCGAACTTGCTTTGACAAGTGTGGCTCTGCCTGATTCCTGAATGCCACTATATATTTCCACCAATTTCTGTTTTGCCAATTCCATTGGTTTCGGTGGGATCGGGCAGTAATGATTCCTGGGATTGATCATTCGTTCGTGTTCACCTCTTTGCCTCTTTGGTCTGTATTCGTAACAAAAAAAAGAGGGTTCGACTATGATACAGGAAATTCATGATTTTCATCAAAATTCACCCAAAGCTCTTCCGGTACCATGTATGTCCGGTATCAACCCCATGAATTGTGGTGAAAACCCAAAACCCATAATCATCGTCATTATTATTATTTTGAAAACTAAAACCGAATTATTATAACACTATCAAATTTACAAAGCTCTTTACATCAGGAACCCCAAAGGGGGGGTAGCTTGGGAAGGAAAACAGATCCTGATTAATTGGTTCCTATTTTTATGATGCGGTTGATTGGTTGTAAATTTTTCAGTATCATGTCTTTCCAGTATAAGTGGACTGGGGTACCACTACGTATTGGGCCCTTCCTAATATGCCCCTACAGGGGTTGTACTATTGAGTCGGCCTGGTTCAGAGGGTAGCCGGGACTTAAACCGGCTCCTCTGAACCAAAATTGAAAAAAAAACTGGAAGTTTAAAAAGGCCAATACTGGCCGATATGCCGTACCGAGTATCGGCCAGTATCGATACTTTGAACCTTGGGGTACCATACCAAGTACCAACTACCAAGATTATGAGATCACAATTACCCTATCCCGGGAGAACCTGGGGGCGGTTAATTGGGTTAGGTATTCCATATTTGTAGGAATGTTTATTATATGGTTCCAACCATAAAATCAAATTGAACCAAACTACTGTAATTTATAGTTTCATTTGATCTAGACTTAGAATGGTTTAGTTCGATTTCTTAAATTTTAGAAACCAAACCATAAATTGTAAACCAAAATACTTTTTTACCGGTTTGATGATATCTACTCTAAACCGCACCAAACTGGAGTGCGAACACCCTAGGATTTTTTTTTTGTAAAACACCCTAGGAAAACTTGGGTCCGGTCCAAAGAGGGTTGGGTTCTTAACTGCAACAGTGCAACATGAACCTGGTCGAAAATTTTTGTGTTTGCCGGTGAAAGGCAGCGTTGCATATGGGCGTTCTTCTTACTGGATTTCATTTTCAAACTACACTACACAGACAAGGGAATAGCCATTCTCGGCAGTCCCATTCGCAGACCGCACTCCCTCTCTCTCTCTCTCTCTCTCTCTCATCACCGCCTTCCATGGTTCCATTTACGTAAGCTTCTTCCGCGCTTCTCATCTCGAATGCGATATTGCGATGTTAATCAGGAGGTCCTCTTTTCCATCCTTATTCCATATATTCACTCCCAAGTTGTCCGTTACCTTCTTCTCTTCTCTCTGCAAAGGAAGACTCTTTAGGCCTCCCTCTGCGGCAACTCCTCCTGTTCCGAAGAAGATTCCCTTCACAGTCTCTGCTCATGGAAGAACATGGGAGGATCCTTACCATTGGATGTCCAACACCAACGACTCAGACCTCCTGAAGTACCTAAACCAGGAAAACAATTATGTCGAAGCTTTCATGGCCGACACCATCCAACTACAACAGAAACTGCTTTCTGAAATGAGAAGCCGAATGCCTCCTAAAATCTCAACTCCCCCTGAACGCTGGGGGCCCTGGTTAGTTCCAACTTCTAGTTCATTCGTAGTCATTTAATCCTGAAATCTTGGTCATTCTTTCCCTCTTTTCCACGTACATGGTTTCTATCACAACAATATCTGCAAAGAAGATTGCAGCGGTGCAACTATACTACCGAAAAGAACAGTGTAAATATTGCCCAGCCATAATCCTCTATATAGAAGTCGAGGGTGGTGGACTCTAAGATGAAACCGACCTGCTGATACGGTGCTTTTTCCCTTCTTTCTATGGCACAGGTTGTACTACCAATACATCCCTGAGGGAAAAGAATACCCAGTTTTATGCAGGAGACTGGATGCCCGAACCCACAATAGTGGTTGGATCAAGAAGGTTCTCAATTACGTAAGTTGGGGATTAGCAAGGGAGGAAATACTGCTCGACTGGAATGAAATCGCAAATGAGTTTGGTATGCTCTTTGATTTTGAGTCTCTCTTTTAGTTGGTGCTCTTAAAAGAATATGGATGATAATATAATCCTTTACGTAATTTTAGTTGGATCCAAGCATGCTTTGTTATATCATAAATCGAAGCCATATTGGTTAGACTAATCCTGTACGTGATATCCTTATGGGTGCTGAATAAATGTCACTGTTCTGTTTGCTGATAAAAAATCTGTGCTATATACACACACATGAATCCTGTTGCTCCATTTTGCTATATCTGGCACTATATCTTCTCTTAAAATTTAGGAGATGAGATAGCTTTCTTTTGTTTGTTTAGACCACTGGCTTTTACCATATCTCTTCTTTTAATTGGTACATTGGTTGGGAGGAGTTTTAAGAAATGAGGCTGGAGAGGTTATCCTTCTCTACTCTGGCCCGTTGGGAGTTGGGAATTCTGTTAGGGCAGAATTGTTAGCCGCCATACAAGGAGTCCTTCTCGCAAAAGAATTGGATGTGGAGAATATACTGATTGAGGGGGACTCTAAGATAGTAGTGGGGTGGTTAAATAATTCAGAGAAGGTTGCATGGATTTACAAGAATGAGCTAAAGTATAAATGGCTGACAAGAAACATGTCTGTTACAGTACAGTGGGTGGGAAGATCGGTGAACGCTCTCACTGATACTTTGGCAAAACAAGGGACAAATAGGGAAACATTGTTCTGGTTACCCTCCCACAGTTTGGGTTCTCATTGCAGAATCTTGTGACGTTAAAGTCACCCCCAATGCACCAAGGAAAATCTTCGAATTCATGTAGAGAGTCTAGCTCTTCCCAAAGTCTTGCTCTTTCAGAAGGAGAGTTTGGACCATAAACACCTGTCAAGATCTAGTTGAATCCATCTGTGGCATTGGTGAAGAGAACTGAGACGGAGAAGTCTCCTTTATCTACCTCCAGACCGGACACAACCTCTTCTTTCTAAATGATGATAATCCCTCCCGCTGCTCCTGTAGCTGGAAGAGCAATCTAGTTCCTCCCTCGGATACCCCAAATGGTTTTGATTAATTTTCTATCCGTAGTTTCTGTTTTTGATTCCTGTAGGATCACAATATTAGGATTTTCCCTTCGAAGGGTTTCCTTGATTAGGCATCTCTTTCATTTCCCTTCCAGACCCCTGACGTTCCAACTCAATATCTTCATTAATTCTCTGTTTAAATCTTCACTATCAAATGTTGGAGTAGGGGGGGGGGTGGCGGAATCTTCAACGCCCTTGCCTGAGGTGAGTTGGGTTTTGTCTTTATTCGACCCAAGGACTTGGGCTAGCAGAAGAAAGGTTGGGGGAAAAAACAGGTTGGGTTTTATCAACTGCCCGATCATCCCTCCCCTTAGAGATTTTCTTTTTTTGCGAGTTTTTTGAAATTTGAACATCCTTTCCCTTTTCTGATATACTTCCTTTCTTGTTCATGCGAAATTTCCTAGAATGGATTTTTTTCCGATGTTTCCTCTTGGGTGAAGTAAACTTTGCTTCTATAGTTCTAGGAGCTTGAGCCTCACGCAACTTCCTCCGATCGGCAAATGGCACTACAATGATTCCCATTTTGCCACATGCACCCAAATCAGAGTGATGAGCCAACTCGACCGGGCCCAGTTGTGATTCAGTCGTCTTCTCCACCTCAAACGAGTGGTTTGTCTTCTCTATCTCGATTGAGTAGTAGAACCAGACATCCCTGTCCAAAATTGGAACTAAGTGAGGGATAGCATGCACTCCTCTTCCCCTTACCTTGATTCTTGCATAACGTAACTCCTGTAGGTCCCTTGTCTTGGCATTAATAGTCTCAAGACCACCACAGAGGCTTCCCAGAAGGTTGAAGACCTTTGTAGTCCAGAGATGAAATGGAAGGCCACGGATTGTCACCCAACCTTCAAAGGATAGGCTATTGGGAGAAGCATTAACCGTTGGCTACCATCTCTCAAGCAGCACACGCCTTCCATAGATGAGCAAAGAACTTAGTCTGGTCCAAATGTTGACTAGGGGCAAATCCCACTGGCCTATTTGCGTCCATGGGTTTCAAATGCAGTAGATTAGGGGAATGGAGGTTTGCTGAGAGGCCTAGCTCTACGTCCTTCCAACTTAGACTTTCTTCTTTGGTGCGTATAAATGCTGTCTTCCATATGCCAAAAGGTCCAGAGTGGTGAAAGATGGAGATAAATGGCCGTCCTCTGGCCACCACTACTCTGCTTCTGCCTTTTTCAAGAGTCGGAAAGTTCTTCAATAGGGGGGTATCTGTCTTTGGTCTCTCGTTGTTGGTGAGAAGTGGTTTGAGGGTGTTTGTGAAAGTCTTCCACCCAAAGCTGCTTCCTTCTTCAGGGATGCAAATGCTGCTCGTTTTGCCTGCACCATCCCAACGGCTAAATCTGATGAATCTTCCCGACTTATTTTTAGCCGCATGAATAATAGTTATCCTTCCTCTGTCTACTATTCGTTGAGGCTCACTTGACCAAATACGAGTGGCTCAGAAGCTTCTCTCAAAAATCCACTGTCCAACTCACCTCCGATTCATTTAGGGAGAGCCTCGCCTGAGCTCCTCTTCCTTGTTCTGTAATCACCAATTCTCCGTCATCGTTGAAACGACTGTATTCTAGCTCGAACGTCTTGGAGCCGATAGCAACCCAACGTCGCCAACTCTCTGTCATCATTGATCTGTCATCGTTGCATCAATGTATTATTATATGAAAGTTAATCTTCCTAGTTTATACACTGATAGAGGGTGGGCCTTTGCACAACGGTTGGGTTGCTCCATTGCGACTTGGGTGACCAGGGTTCAAATCTTGGAAATAGCCTCTCTGCATGTGCAGGGGTAAGGCTGCATACATCTATCCCTCCCCAGACCCTGCATTGGCGGGAGCCTCATGTACTGGGCTGCCCTTTAGTTTATACACTGTTACCAGGTTCTTTCATCTTTCCATTTTTTGTTTTTGTTCTCAACTTGATTTTTATTCTTATTAAAAATCTATAATTCATTGACTAATAGTTGTTGCAGGTTATGTTCATATTGGTGCATGCCGAGTTTCACCAGATCATAACTTTCTTGCATACACACTGGACACTAATGGCAGTGAGCAGTTCATGCTTCAAATTAAGGACCTCAGAACTGGGTCTATTCTTCCTAAAACATGGGTTGATGGGGTTGTTAGCTTGGCATGGGCTGAGGATGGCTGTACTTTGTTCTATACAGTCTTGGATGAGACCCAACGACCTTACAGGCAAATTCTTATGGTGTTATCTTAAGCATTTTTGTTTTGGTAATGGGGTTGTTCTTAACTGGAACTTTGTCCAGCAGGGTTTTCTGCACAGAACTGGGGTCATATTTCCAGGATGCTAATCTGATATTCACGGAAAGCGATTCAAGTTGCTGTGTGGACATCACAACCACAAAGGATGGAAAGTTCATAACTGTGAATTCTAACTCAAGGACTTCATCGGAGGAAGGTTACTTACCTATATCTTCTCACTATAAAACAAGCATGGTATGTGAAATTGTTCTGCAACATGGTTGATATTATCCTTCCTTCCTCCATTACAGGTTTACATACTAGATGCATCGAAACCACATAGTGGGTTGCGAAGAGTACGTAAACGTGTGCCTGGTGTGCAGTACTTTCTGGAACATCACTATGGTTACTTCTATATTCTTACCAATGCTCCTTTGAGGGAAGATGCGGATTTATTTGACAGAGGTTATTATTTGACTAGATGCAAGGCTGGAGATATACAGTTGTCCACTTGGCAGGTTAGTTTTATTATTAACAATATAACTGAAATATGAAAACCAGGTGTTCTGCTGTTTATAATGTTCTATTATATCATTTTGCAGAAGTTCTAAAGTAAAAGATGTTCAAAACTGGCATGGTCAATGTGTAAAAGAAATGCAAAAGAAAACAACTTTCATGTGAAAGATCTTTTTTCTTTTAATTTTTTTAGTCAACAGAGTTTGATTGTGTTCATTAACTTTTTGTGTGAAGATCCTGAGTGATGTTGGGATCATTGTGGAAATTGGGGAACCAAAGTGCAGTTATTCGTTTTTTAGAAATTTGAGACAGGGTAGATTTAACTTTAGTTTAATATATGTTCATTGAGTTATCTAAGTGGCAGCATAGTGGATGCACTTATACAAATTATCAAGGCATGGATGGAATGGAGTCTTTTAGGTCAACATTTATTAGATATTCCAGAAAAGTTAAGGCACAACTATTTCAGAAGCTTGGAGATTTTTCAGGCATGATCTTTATGTTGCTTGGACATGACATGAATTGTGACACCTTTTTTTGGCAGCTATTGGAGACAGAGAGTCAGAGACTATTTACTTAAATAATTCTGAAATTAGGATAATGATGGCACTTTTATATGATATACTATTAGAAAAAGGCAATCAAATGGTTGGTTCGTTGCCATTGCAAAATTGTCTTTATGGAACTATTGTTCTTACTTTTCGTGGCTTTAATTGAACTTTCTAAATTGTCCAAAAGAAAGAAACGAAAAATCTTTTGAGGAGGTTTGATATGAAAAGCTGTTGAGGGGGAGGGAGGAGGGAGAATTAAGTCATGGTGTATGAAGGGAAGAGGTGCTTCTGGAGTGTGGTGTGATCAACAACTTTTGGTCAAATTATGATAAACAATATCCTATTGGAGCAAGATGTACTTTGAAGGAAGAAAAAGTCCATAAAATGAGTGCAACAGAGATTTGGATGAATGGCAGAGACTAAAGTGGACAAAAGTAGAAATGAGTGCATTATGGGATGTACATATATATATGGAAAGTCAAATAAGATGGTTTACTAATATAACATACTAGCATTAGAGACCATAACCGCAGAAGGTGGTTTATGCCAGTTAACAGTTCTAAAGAGTTAGAGGGAGTTAAAGTGGACATGGCTGAGGTAGCAAGATACTCACCCTCATATATACCTTCAAGACATTCTTCTTTGTTTCTGTCTGGCTTTTTTGGATGGACAGTGTAAAATGTTGTGTTATAGTATGAGATAAACAGATTGATAAAAAAGGGTATGAGATAAACAGAGCAATTACAAACAATGAAAAGGGGAGAGAGGATTCTAACAGTTTAGGGTGCACCATGTTTTAAAAGCGAGAGACAAATAAAACACAAGGTCTTCCAAATGCTTGAGGCATGTGGCACAAGGCATAACCATATTTCATAATTTAGTATCTAGAAAGTCTTGGGCTGATAAGAGAACATGTATCAGAGAGTTGCCACTCTGTCTGTCTGTCATCATCATCCCAGCCTTATCCCAACTATATGGGTTCAGCTACATGAATTCTGTTTTGCCAATCTGTTCTGCTTTAATGCCATATCCATTGTTAAATGCCACTATGAAAAAAACAAGAGCAAGGGTTAGGTCTGTTTCCAGTCCACTCATCCCAGGACCCCAGAATGTTGGGACCAACATTGGGTAATGGCCTTTCTTAGTATCTGTAATATGCAAAATCCAAATCCATACTGCATAGAAGGCATCCAAATCCACTTTTTCATAGTAAATAAAAGATAATTAAAAAGGAATATCAGAAAAGATACAATCTTAGGCGATAAGATATCACTGAGACAGAAGAGGATACACAAATTGACTATTACTCCCCCAACAATATAGAATCCATCCAAATCCATAGAAGACATACAATTTATCAATCATGTTAATCAGTTTAATAACTGTTGTATCCTCTGTTTGGGGAGGAAAAGAACTTGTTGCCTTTTGATATTTAGGTTGCCATGCCATTGCGCCTCACCCAGGTTTGTTTGCCTAGGAGCACCAGGTGAGTACCTTTTGAAACTGTTGTTGCCTGGATTCAAGTGAGGCATGGATGTCAAAATGCGACTTGTCTATGTCCCTAGGTATGCTTTTTTAAAACACTGAGGGTGCACATTGGGCTGGGCTGGGCTGGGCTGACAGGCACTGTTAACTGGCTTTTGTATGCTGGGTTTAGTTTGCAGGTTTCAGCCCATAGGCTAGGCTGGGGCCTGATTTCAGGTCTATTTGTTAAAGGGGTTGTTGGGCCAGACCTAGTTTATCAGGCTTGGTAAGTCATGGTAAGCCAAGTATTATGTATATATATTGCTAGCAGTGCTCTAATAGTCTAATCCATATTGTATTTAACAATAAATTTATGGCTTTATGCGTTTTTATTTTCTAGAGGGTGTTGCATGCTTTTCATATCTTTGTCTGTTTCTGAAATAATTTCATATTAGGGACAATTTGATCTATGCACTATTCCATGTTATTATCATAATAATTATTATTATTTTTCAATTAAAAAAAATGAAAGAGGCTCGGTATGCTATTACTTGTTGGGCTGTGCTTGTTTTTTGATAGGTTAAGCCAAAGTGAAATTATACAGTGCTGGGCTTGGATCTGGCACAGGCTTTGAAGAAATCCAAAGGATTGGTCTATGACTGCACCTTTTGGCTTTTGGAGAAGGCCCGTGCCAATTTTTAAGTCTTGTTCATTAAATTTGTGGGCCTGGGAGTATTATTGGCTCGGTACAAGCCTGGTATTCTGCACGCTACCCACAATATAAACTTTAAAAGATACCAACCCCTACACCCAAAAGGCCATACCAATTGATGGGAATACCAATCCTATTATAGCCATGAAAATCCTTCAACCCAAGATACCAATTGGGCAAGAAAATATGTAATATCTTTTTTTTTGGAAAAGTTTAAGTGATATTTATTGATAAGAAGTTACACACAGGGGGCTGAGATCAGTCCCATAACAGGCTGACTGGTCAAATCAGCAAATACACTTTCCATCAAGAGCTAGAAAGAAATACATCTGACACATTACAGTTTCTAAAATCCGCAGCCACAGACACCCAAGGAATCAGCTTGCCCACTGATTTCTGAATTAACTCTTCCGGACTTAGAATCTTGTTACTGAAAATCCTTCTATTCCTTTCGGTCCAGATGGACCAAATTACAGCAATTGGAACTATCTTCCAGACAGTCTTCTTTTTCTTGTTCAAACCCATAAGCTGCCAGCAACACAACAGCTCTTTTACCGACCTCGGCATCACCCAACATACCTTCAAGGAGCTGAGGAAATGGTTCCACAACCGAGCAGAATACGGACAATGGATACACAAATGATCAGTAGATTCAGCACTGCTCCCACATAGACTGCAAGACAAGTCCGAAACCTGAATTCCCCTTCTCACTAGGTTCTCCTTAGAAAGACATTTATTAAGAGCCATAGTCTAAACTAGGAAGTTGGCTTTTGTTGGGCTGTTGGGATTCCACACTTGCCGATCTGGGAAATCAGGAACACCCCTCCTACCAAGATTAGCAGCCAAAGATTTAACAGAGAACACCCCATCAGAGTTCCACTTCCAATGCCACTTATCCTCCGAACTGTAATCCAACTCTTGGTTCTGAAGACAGGTCAACAGATTCAAAACCTCTTCCACCTCCCAATCAAAAAGATTCCTTCGAAATGAGGGAGTCCAAAGAACTGAACCACCAGAAATACTATAGCACTCTGCAATTGAGGCCTCTTGATCCGGAGCACACTGGAAGAGGAGGGGGAAGGACTCAGCAAGAGGTTCATTTGAGCACCAAGGGTCCTTCCAGAATTTGGTCCTGTTACCATTACCAACCCTAACTGAGACCCCCACAGCCAGAGCTGAAAAGTTCTTCATTATCCCTTTCCACAGAGATTTACCCCAGTTGGGAGGAGGGTCCCTAGTTCTCCAATTGCCCCAATTCACACCATATTTGCTGGCAATGAGAGATCTCCACCATGCATCATTTTCTGCAGCAAATCTCCAAATCCACTTACAGAGGAGAGCAGAATTAAGAGATTTCAGCTTCCTTATATCTAACCCCCCTTCAACTTTGGGGAGGCAAACTTGCTCCCAACTCACCAAGTGCACTTTTTTCTCCTCCTCCCAGCCTCTCCAAAGAAAACTCCTCTTGTGCTTTTCAATCTGATTTGCAACCTTGTTAGGAATAGAGAATAGAGACAGGAAGTAGGTAGGTAAATTGGAGAGAGTGCTCTTAATCAGAGTCACCCTACCCCCAAATGAGAGGTATTTTGCTTTCCAAGAGGCCAGCTTCCTTTCCAATCTCTCAATAACCGGGTCCCAAATTTCAAAAGAACCACCACTCACCCCCAGAGGGAGTCCCAAATATTTGATTGGAAGGGATTCAACCTGACAAGCCAAAATACCAACACACTTTGCTAAGTTGGAGACATGGCCTACTGGGATGATTTGGCTCTTGTTCCAATTAACTTTAAGACCTGTTGTCACTTCAAACCAAGACAAGATCCCAAGGATTAACTCCACCTAAGAGGGAGAGGCATCCACAAAGCACAACGTATCATCTACAAATTGAAGAATATTCACATTCTCCCCCTCGGCACGATTGCAAAACCTTCCCACTCACTTGAAACTGCAGCCTGCTTACAGAACAGAGTGAGGATTTCCATTACACATATAAATAGAAGAGGAGACAAGGGGTCCCCCTGTCTAAGACCCGTGGAACTATCAAAGAAACCTGCGGACTGTCCATTAATCAAGACTGAGAACTTTGGAGAGGTGATACAAACTTTAACCCAATTCCTCCATTTCTGCCCAAAATTCATCTGATGTAGCACAAGATCAACACATCTCCAGTTAACATGACCATAGGCCTTTTCAATATCAAGTTTACAAATCAACCTTGGGGAACCTTCTTTTTTCCTGGAATGAATGAGCTCATTGGCAATGAGAATAGAGTCCAACATCTGCCTACCCGGAACAAAAGCACTTTGGTTATTTGAGATAACACTACCAAGGACTACTTCCATTCTCTCAACAACCACTTTGGCAAGGATTTTGTAGAAGCTATGCAGAAGACTCTTGACAGTGTGGCCGACCAGAGATAAGAGGAAGAGGAAGAGGAGAGAAGAGAAGAGAAGAAGAAGAGAAGAGAAGAGAGGAGAGAAGAGAGGAGAGAAGAGAGAAGGTTTGCAGTGTAACAGCACTGGCGGCGCCAGTGTTTATTTTACTATATATAGGGCGACAGAAAATACAAGGGAAAAGACCCTTGTGCCCCTGAGTACAATAACAGACATAACAGAAAAAAAATGAAATAAAAAAACACTTTAATTATCCAAACAGGCCCTAACATATGCAACTAAGTTATTTTAACATTATTTTAACAAAGACTAATCGGCCTGAAGTCCTTAATATTCACTACACCTTCAATCTTTGGAATGAGGGTTATGAAGGTAGTGTTCAAACTTCTCTGCAAAGAACCCCTCTCAAAAGAATCCTGGAAGACATTCAGAATGTCTTGTCTCACCACATCCCAGCATTTAATATAGAGAAGATTTGTAAGGCCATCAGGCCCTGGAGATTTCTCATCAGCCAACAACTTGATAGCTTCTTTTATTTCCTCCTCTGAGAAAGGTCTCTCAATAAGAGATGACTGCTCATCACTCAACTGATTAAAAGAAAGGGATCTAGGAAAAGGTCTGAAGGACCAAGACTCCTTGTACAACTTTTTATGGAAGCTAGTTGCCACTAGCTTCATATCAGTCTCAGTGATACCTACCCTGCCCTCTCCCTCCAGCCTGGTAATTACAGAAGCTCTAGCTCTGGCATTTGCCATTTTGTGAAAAAAGTGAGTATTCCTGTCCCCCTCTTTCAGCCAAGCCACTTTAGCTCTTTGCTTCCATTTTAATTCTTCCGACACTGCCAAATTATCAAACTTCAACTTTGCTTGAGATCTTTTTAATCTGAGCTCCTCAGAAATAGGACCCAATTCTTCAGCTATGTCGATTTCCTTTATGGTACTCAGGAGGGCCTTCTTCTTAGTCTCTAAACTCATATTTTTCTCCAATTTCCAAATCTGTAGTCTTGCTTTAATGGCCCCCAATTTCTTTGCCAAGATGAATGAACTGGTACCCCCCACCTACAGTTCCTCCCAAATAAACTTCAACAAAGGAACAAGAGTAGCATCCTCAAACCAGGCATTCTCTAATTTAAAAGGAACTTTTGCTCTCACTCTGACACCACAAACCAGCTGAATTGGAATGTGGTCTGAAACTGGCCTAGGAAGGGCAACCTGCTTAAACTCCAGAAAGATATCTTCCCAATTAGAAGTGACCAGAAACCTGTCCAGCCTCACAAGGGTAGGAAGTCTTGGTTGTTGGCCCAAGTAAACCGATTACCATGAAGAGGTAAGTCTTGAAGTTCAAATCTGTTAATGAAATCAGCAAACTGAACCATATCCCTCGATCTTCTCCCACCCGAGCTTCTCTCATCCGCAGACAGAGTAACATTAAAGTCCCCACACCCAAGGATAAGAGAAACTTCCCCTAGCCACGACCAATTCCTCCCTCAGGCTTTGGTCATTAGGACCATACACATTAGTAATTTGACAAACATTACCATCTACAAACTTCAAGACAAGGGAAATTGAAAAATTTCCAATCTGATAGGAAATCAAACTGCAAACCATCGGGTCCCACATGCTCAGCAACCCCCCTGCACTACCGACTACTGACTTTGATCTCCACCTAACATCCCCCTCCCCCCAGATGCTTCTAACCACTGCAGCCTCCACACTCTCCAACTTAGTTTCTTGAATCAACACAACTTTTGAACCTGAATTTTTCAGAGATTCACAAACTACAAGTCTCCTTCTCCCCTACCCCAATCCCCCAACATTCCAAGAGAGTAACTTTAACTCCATTACTAACCATTAAACCAACAGGAAATTTGGCTATTAAGCCTTTCTCCCCCCCCTTACACTCCCCTCACTACTGCCTGTTTTGTCATTTAGGCTCCAAGTCAAACACAACAGTTCTCTGCTTCTTTTAGATTTGTTACCCCCCTTCTTTGCTGCAGCTTTCCCCCTAGCCAGACGCACTCTTTGCTCAACTCCCTCCTAGTATTTGATAGTCTCCTCTTCCAATCCTTCTAACGAGATCCCCAGAAACTTTCCCAAACCCATCATCTTAGAAGAAACCCATGAAGAATCACAAGCCCTCACTGGTTGCTCCCCTACTAGATTCGGCTGAACCAATAACAAACTGCTGCTCTTCTGAGACTGCCCTTCCGAATCAGCACCCATAATAGTTTCACAAAACTTACTACCTTCCACCTGTGAACCAGCACCCTCTTGCTCCCCTCCACCACCTTCAACTTGAGAATCTGAGGCCACTATCGCAATCGGATCTACCTCAATCAGCTCCTCTTCCTCTCGCAGCACTGCTAACTGGTTGGACTCCAACTGAACCTTACCCTCGGAAGAAGCAGTTTGAGGGGGCATAGGCTTCACAGCAGCTGAGCCGAGGTCCAAAGTTCCCCCCACCCTTCTTATCCCTTCGTGATGAAAACAAACGACGGTCCTGAGAATCCCGAGTGGCCCCTGAACCCACAACCTGTGGACTACGCCAACCAGGAGAACTGAGACCAGGATTCATATGCACCCTTCGACCAGGGGGGAGCTAGGCTCACTATAAGCTTTTGGCCCAGGCCCAACATCCGAGTTAAAGGGATGTAAAGCAGGTTTGAATTTCAAAAATCCTTTCCAAAAGCTTCCAGGCTGAACCCATCTGGACCCTTCGTTGTCGCTGAGATCAGACGGCTCATAAGAACCCCCAGATCTGCATCTTCTTCTCTACCACCGGCTGCCGGAGAGGTTGCTCGCATACAAGTCTTTTGGCTTCGAACTGCTTCAGACAAACAGGGGAGAACACTTTCGCCAGAGTCTTCCAGGACCAAAGTCTTGGTACAATTTGAAAGCCCCTTTTCTTCTCTCTGAACGTCCCAAGACAGCTCTTCTCCACCTCTCCATCTTTGAACGGACGGCAGCAACTCTTGCCAAATCTGGACAGTGAACAACACTTCCCCTGCCACCACTTCGATCTTGTTCGGAATTTTGTTCCCCATACGGACTCTCATTCTTACCCATTCGCAGGTCGCAATCTCCAGGGGAGAGTCATCCGTCTCTATGAAGCCCCCGCAAGCATCCCCAATAGCCCTTATTACACTTGGGCACCAGAGAAGGAGGGGGAGACCAAACACCCTGATCCAACTCGACTCCGGATCCTCCCCTTTAGCGAAAGGGTCTGGGTAGTGGCAGCCTGCACTTGCACCCCACCAGTCCAGCAAGAGGGGGTTTCTTCCCAATTGCCAGGGCCCATTCCTTAACACCCATTCCGCACCAGCTCTAGACGGACAGATGAAGAGGAAGAGTCCATCCGCCATTCTCTTCACTTTCACACCCTCCACCTCCCTCCAATGTCTGTTTGCCCACATCTCCACATCTCCACCTCCCTAATCCCTTCCCCTCCACCTTCCCACCAAACAGTTCCGCAGGAATTCTCTTCTTGCATTCACTGCCTGAGGATCTGTAACTACCACTCTTTTACTGCCAACCCACTTCACCTCCGACGAGCCAAACGCAGGCCAAGCACCTGCTGCCGCCGCTTCACTGTAGGAGAGATTGAGCCTTGCCTTCCCTTCATTCTTCACTCTGCGGTACCAGTTGAAAGCTTCCCATTTTCGCTTCCCTCCACCAGGTCTACTGGAAGGGAAGTTGCGCTCCATCGAAACTACAGACAAGAAATCAGGACCACTCCTACCAGAACCCTTCACCGGAATCTACAATATTCTTGGCATGAGCCTCATTCATTTTGGGGCCAGCTACAAAAATCATCATCATCATCGAAAATATGTAATATCTTTCCCTCCTAAGACCTCAACAGAATTACAGAAAGGAGGAGGGAATGCACTTCCAGAGAATCTGACCTGTAGTTCCAAAAGCTATCATGGGTTGAAGAAGAGGTAGCCTTCCTCAAGAGTGTAGGTGCATCCAAACCACCCGAAAGCATAAAAATTGCCATGCCGTGCAGCATATATTTTCTATTTTAACTTTCATATGCAGTTTCCCGAAAGAATGTAAGGTGTGGCTAGGATGGCATTTTTTTTTGATGGAACAATTTAGGCGTGATGGCGTTGCCCAAAAATGGGACCCAAATTAGGGGTTAGCTAGGATGGCAATTTGCTTGGTTATTTTCCTTTTCATGATGTTTGATGTTTCCATATATAGTTGGTTAAATAGATGTTAATGTTGACACAACTTTATGATAAATTTCTTTTCACATTTTGCATGTTTTGTTTGATATGATTTTCTTGTTTACATTTAATTGTCCTCTCTTTCCATTTGTACTTCAGGATATTATCCTACCAGATCAAGATCTCATTTTTCAAGACATGGATATTTTTTATGAACACTTGGTACTTTTCCTTGATAAAGGGGGGTCCCCCATGATCTGTTCCATCGATATGCCTATCAATGTTACCAATGTCAATTTTAAGGTAATAAAAGTGATAATTGCAATTTATATTGTGTTTTTTCTTGATACCAGTGTATTCCTTATGATATCATTATTTCTTGTTTAAGGTCAAAATGATTACCGGAATTTACCTTCTGATATCTTTTTTTTTTTTTTTTTTTGGATCAGTAACTCAGAAAAAGATTTTGTTAAGATTAAGAGAAAGCAGGACAACAAGGCACTGTGGAAGATACAAGTAGATGCCAAGTGTCTAAACCCCCCAAAATATTACAGCTGAGCCCAAAACATAGTCTGTCTCTGAACCCCTTGCTTAGCTAGACCATCTTGTCAGGCTGTTGGCAGATTTTCTAACCCAATTAACTTGAATAAACATGTCCCTAGAGAGCCATTTGAACCGCCTAAGAACATTCCTTAGATGCCAAGATACTCCTCCCTTCTTTAGCCACTTCACAACTATCTTGGAATTACCTTCAATAATTAATCTTTCAATACCCAATTCTTTGGCATTCTCAACTCTAAAAACAGCTGCAAGAATTCTACAGTTGTCACATCATCTTGCTCAATTGGACCTTAGAAAAAAGCACGTATATTTCCTTACTCGTCCCTGATTACTCTAATTCCAGAGGGGCTAGGATTTCCCACACAACTCCCATCGAAGTTCAGTTTCAACCAGCCGCTTGATGGAGTTGATCAGTCCACTGTTTCTATCTGTCTTCTAGAAGAGGAGGCAGCTATAGCCCCCAAGATCTGAAAAAATCATCAACCTGAAAGTCTGAAAACAGATCCAAGGTTTTGACCCAATGAGCCACCCTTAGGGTTATGATATCAATCAAGACTTCCTTATTCCTCTCCTTTTCCCCAAATATTCTTGAATTTCTTTCCGCCAAAACTGTCTAAATAACTGCTGCCCTGTTACATCTCCACACTATCCTGCCCCTTCTATTTGTACAATTGCAATTAGAAGGGTTAAAAAAACCTTCAAAGCAGACAGGAGGGAGCCAACTACAACCAAAAAGAGAAGCAAACCAATCCCAGAAAAAACCAACAAAGGGACAGGAGATTAAGAGATGAAATGCAGTCTCGCCATTTAACTTACATAAGCAGTACCAATTGGGGGACAAACACCAGTTTGGCCTCTTCATTTGGAGCTTATCACAAGTGTTAATGAAGCCGTGATTCACTTCTCAACAGAAAGCATTGGCTCTATGAGGAATGCGGGAACACCGGATTTCCTTAATAGGGAAAGAACAGGAAGGTGAGGAGGCTACAAGGGAATTAAACAAAGGTTTACAAGTGAAGAACCTGACATGATTAAGAGTCCACACCCTACTATCCACACCCCCATCCCCAAGATCTACAGAGTTCAGCAAGGTAAGCAAAGTAGGCACACTAGGGATTTCAAATTCTCTAAGGTTCCTAGTGAAGCCCAAGTTCCATTCAACCCAAGAGGGGAAAGAGGGGGACAAATAAACTCTGACATTGTTATACTTTTGAGATTGGAAAGAGTGTAAAGGGAGGGAAAAAATCTCCATCAAAGGGGAGTCCCCAAGCCAAATATCTTCCCAAAACCTAGTTTTCTGACCCGAGACCAAGTCATACCTGATGCGGCTGAGGAAAACAGGAAGAGCGTCATGCATGGCTTTCCAAGGAGTAGCCATAGTATCTCTATGATGACAACTAGCATCCCAGCCGTTGTTTGACAGCCCATGCACACTTGCCACCACTTTGTGCCAAAGTCTTTCACTTTCTTTGGAAAATCTCCATTCATTTACTCAATAGGGCCAAATTTTTTATTCTCACATTTCTAATCCCCAACCCCCTTCTACTTTCAACTTCGCCACCTCCCAATTAAGTAAATGATCTTTCTTCCCTTCCCCAGGTTCCCACAAAAAGCCTCTCATAATCTTTTCAATTTTTTACCACAACTTGGGGCATCCTGAAAATTGACATATAATAAACATGTGGGTTAGCTAAGTGGATTTGATTAAGGTTATTCTCCATCCCGAAGAAATATAATTTTGTTTCCACCCAGCTAGTCAATTCTCAAACCTTTCCACCACTGGGTTCCAAAAACTGAGATTTGGGGTTGTGACCAAGAGGTAATCCTAAGTATTTGAGTGGCCACTCCCCTTTCTCACAACCCAAGGAATTTGCCATATCTCCCAACACATCTTCCTGAGCATTAATACCGACCAAAAAACTTTTATTCCGCTTAATCTTCAAATTAGAGACCCTCTCAAAAAGGTTCACTACCAACTTCAAATTTTCTACCCCCATCTTTGCAGTCCTCATCACAAAAAAACTAGGATATCATCATCAAATTGCAAATTAGTGACCAGAATTCTATCTCTCCCAATTAACTAGCCTTTAAACAGCTGCAAGCTATTGGCTCTAGAGATCAATTTGCATAGAACCTCAACTACCAAGGTGAAAGGGAAAGGTGATAATGAGTCACCTTGTCTAAGACCTAAGTACCTTCTGATATCATTATTTTCTTGTTTAAGGATGGCTGATGTAATGGGGATGCACTAGACTTGTGTCTTTAGAAAGGGAATATCATGGAATGCATACCTCTCTTCATTCCTTGTGATCTAGTGATGAAGGAGAAAATAGATAACCTAAAATGGGAGCAAAGATTTAGGGTTTCCTAAAATGGAAGTTTCTCCTTGGAATGCCATCAATGTGGTATTACCTCTCTTCATTCCTTTTATCAAATACAATCTTTATAGTGGTAATTGTATTAAATTTTGGGAACATGTTTGGTTGGGGTCTTTCAACTTTGAAGGAACGATTTCCCTCAATTTTTGCACTCACTTGTTCTTAAAATGAGCCTATTTCTAAATTCCTGGTCCCTTCTGATTCAAGTAATGGCTTTAATTGGGACTTGGGCCTTTGGAGGGGTATAAGAGACTCCAAACTCTAGAATAAATTAGAATAAAGAAGTGGATAGTACAACTTGATGATAGGAATGTCATTCCCTACTTTCAAACCCAAGTTACATAGAAGCCCAGAACAGTTGCTACCCAATGTTTAGAGAACTAGACCAGGCATTGGCCCAGAAAAGGGAGAGGTTCAACCGGGGTCCAATCGTGATGATATAATATATATATATATATATATGCATTTAATAATTATAAATTATAAATATATATATATATAATGTAATATATTATAAATTATATATTAGATTATAATATATTCAAAGTACATAATTATATTCTTTTATAGCATATATTTATATTTTTATTTTAGTTTCAAAATTTTATATTAAAAAAGATTCGAGGCCAAAAGGCGTTTTTTGGCAAAAATAGTGGGACAAGGTGCCTTCGTTCCTTGGGAACACATAGACTTCGAAATCCCCCCCAAAAAAAAGATCACCCTAATTGGACATCCAAGCGTAAAGTTATGGCCTCTAGAAGTTTGCATTTATGTGCTAAAAATTTTTCAAAAAACCAGCTGGTTTTCTAAAATTGGGACTGGTTCACTAGTTTTTTGGTTTGGCCAACTAGGTCAATGGTTTGGTCGGTTTTGGGGGTATAATCAAACCGGCCAGGAGCTCAGCTTTGATTCAACCGGTCTGACCAGCTGGTCTGGTCTGGTTTTCTAAACACTGTTGATGCCTCATAATCCCTTGTTTAGCAACAGAGTTAGCTAACGCATTTGCACTCCTTATAACCCACTTAAATTCAGCCTCTATTTCCTTTGCAATCTTTTCCACTTCCCTTATCATATGTTTAAGAGTCCAAGGAGTATGCCTGTTGGAGTTTGCTCATGAAATAACTCCAGAGTGTACTTACATTATTTAAATTGTTGGAAAAAGTCTTCTTTGATCCTTCTAAGTCTGATAACTGAATATGGACTTTTACTCCTTCTGGTTCTTTTTCTTGTGCTTCTTTTTTAAAGCCTTGTTTCAACCCTCCCCTATCTTTTTGCCTTTTTCCTTGTTGAGGTATGGCATTAGCCTATTCTTATGCTTTTTGTTAGGAAGTTGTCCATGAAAAGATTAATACTTATTATTTACTTCCAAAGAAAACGAACAAAGTGATGTTTATCCCTTCATTGGTGTACCTTGTGTAAGGCTAATGGTCAGATTTGCTATCACTTACTTATCTTTTGTTCTTTCAATGCTTCAATTTGGGAATGGTTTTCCTCCTTGTTTGGTTGTAGGTGAAATTCTCCAGCAGGTGTTCAAAGCCTTTTTGCTCTGACTATCTTTGCATGTCCAATGAAATGGGGAAGACTTATGTGGAGATGTTTAGGAGCATTAACAATTTGGGAAGAAAGAAATTCTAGAATCTTTCTAGAGAAGGTGAGAAGCAAGGAAGATGCAATGAAAACAATAATGATTAGAGTGGCACATTTGGCTGAAATCCATGGACACTTTTTCAAATGTGTCAATGGATGATATACTCAGAAAGTGGAAAGAAGTGGCTGAATCTTGCTCAACTAAGTCTGTCTCTAGTTACCAATGGTCTCCACCAGAAAGTGGATTTATCAAACTTGATTTTGAAAGTAGTAGCATGGGAAACCCAGGAAGCTCAGGTATCAGTGGAGTGTTTAGAGATGAGGAAGGCAAGATAAGTGCCCTATGTTCAAGACCGGCTGGGGAGGCTCTTGAAGTATTGACCTTGATGGAAGGTGGACAAAGTGAAGAATTGAAACTGTGCATCTACAACAATGAAAAGAAGAAAATCAATTGGCTGGAAAGAGATATGGAAGTCTCTTTTAGTTGGATTAGGCGATGTGCTAATTCGTTAGCTGATGCTTTAGCCAAACAAGGGGTGGGAAGAGAGACTTTATTCTGGGCACAGTTGTAAGTCAGGGATTTTGTTGTGGGGAGAGATGATCTTGTATGCATTATTACTATCTCTTTTGGCTATTCCATCTCCCCTCTTCATTTTTCAATTTTATAATAAAGCAAATGAAGTTCCTTAACTATTTGTGTTAATATGTAAAGTGCAAAAGAGAAGTGTTTGTACTGTTGATAAATAAATAGTCATCTTTCTGTTGCATATGAGGCAGCCCTTTTTTTACTACTAAATTTTGTCATCGTTTTTTTTTTTTTTGCAGCATCACGTGAAGGTTGATGATCTTAATCCATGGTTTTTTCCTGTACCTTCAAATTTCTGTAGCATTACTCCAGGTTCAAACCATGACTTCATGTCGTCTTTGTACCGTGTGGTGCTTTCATCTCCAGTGGTATTGTTTTCATCAAGCTTATAAATATTTTTGGACTTATTGATGCTTGACAGTTCCAACACTTTGTTGCATATACAGAAGACTGAATCTAAATGAGAAATTGTTTGATAGAAACTGAATCTTGGTTTGGTTTTAAATATCGAGCTTATGTAGAGATGCAACATGAGGATTAAATACAAATATTTGAGACTAGGAGCTATAATACTTTATATCACTTCCAATCCGGACTGGGAGTACATGCAGTCTGAATCTCATATCAACCTTAGGCATCTGACATTTGTTTCCTTTTCTCTATGGATTTTATGTTAGAGACCAATTAAAAAAGACAAAAAAAAAACTATTTTAGGAGCTCAATTACTATATGCATAGAGATCTTGATTTAGGGCTTTCTTCTAGAGAGTTGCACGTGAAACCTTCCTTATTTTGGAAAATGCAGATGCCCGATGTGATTGTTGACTATGATATGTTAAAGAAGAATTTCTCTATTTTGCAACAAGACGAGGTAGTTGGGATTACCAGCAATGCTGGATCAAGTTCATTATCATGTAATGTTCATAAGAAAATTGTAGGCATGGAAACCCATAAAGATCAGCTTATGCAAAATATAGAAGTCCAGAGCTGGAAGGATCTTCCTGAAGCATTCTCCTGTGAAAGGAAGGGAGTTATTTCACATGATGGTGCTGAAGTCATTCTGACCATCTTATACTCTACGGAAGCACAAAAGAAGGGTCAATCTCCTGGGCTTTTACAAGGATATGGAGCTTATGGAGAAGTTTTGGATAAAAGTTGGTGTGCAAATCGCCTGAGTTTAATTGATCGTGGTTGGGTTTTGGCTTTTGCTGACGTGAGGTAAATTATACCATGTTTCGTTTTCTTATTGATCTTTTTTTTTTCTGAATTAGATGCATGAGATCATGTCAACTATAATATATTAAAAATGGAATGGGTGTGGTCAAGGTTCAAAAGATCGTTACGTAGGCCGATATGTATCGTATTGGGGCTTTCCCGATACGCCCCTACAGGGGGTGTATCAGGTCAGGCCATGGTTCAGAGGGTAGCCAGACTTAAACTGACCCCTCTGAACCGGTTTTGAAACAAAATAAATAAAACACAAAAAAAGCACTGATACGGGCGTATCGGCCTGTATCGATATTTAGAACCTTGGGTGTGTTCATATGTTTATGGAAAAATGTTAAAATTGGAGTTAAAACATTTAGAAGGGTTCAATAACATCCGAATTGCCATGGTTGAGACCTTTGCTCCCTTCCACATGTCCACATAAATACCAATATGCTGTTCTGCTGTTTAATAGGGCTGCAACTTGGGTGGATTTGGTTGAGCATTTGTAAATTTTGAATGGGCCTGAGTCTGAACCTGAAACGATGTAGTTAAAACACTTAAAAACAGGCAACCCAATTTGCACCCCTACTGTCTGTGGCCTTATCTTTTGTTAGATAGTACGTGATGCAGAGGCAGAATCAAGGAAAGAATTTATGGGGAAACAAAACAATATTCCAATTCCTATACCAGTTTCAGAATTTGTGGGTTATAGGATATTGATATTGTTTCACTTTTTCTTATTTATGTTCTAGTTGTTGGTGTCTTAAGAACATGGTTATGTGTTTTAAGATTTTTATTTCGAAATTACTATTTATAGTAATTCCTGTATTACTAGTTTTAGTAATTTATGGTGTTTTTTAATTAAGTTAGTCTTAGTGGGATTAAGAAAGTGTTATTGACGTTTTTTAGGAGTTGGGGTCCTTATTTAAGTGTCCTAATGGGTTAGTTATTGATTTATCTTAGTTCTAAAGCAATTAAGAGTTGTTTTGGGTCAATTTCCTGGTCCAAATTGGAGTCTGAAAGGGGGCATCCGAATTAGTAAGTTGAATCTATAAATAGAGTCATTGTAATTGGAATTGAAGAAGAGTGATTTAATGAAATAAAGTTTGTTTGGTGAATTCTGGTTGTTGCCAGAAAATTTGCTCTTTTTTCCCCTCTCTGTCACATGCTTCTTTAAATTGACCAAATCTCATTGCTGTTTTCCCTAACAACAAGCATTCTACTTGCTTCTCCATTCATATTCTAATCAGGTACAGCCTCTCATTCACCCCCACAAAGCCCACCACCAGATCCTAAGTTAGTAGGGCCTGTACCTGTCCTACATCAATATGTCCTCGTGTATTCTCAGCACTTAAATCCGTGCCCTATCTCGTACCTTTGTTCTTTCTGATCCTTCAACCCACACCAAGTTACTTTCTTGTGTTTCTATTGTTATTTGTTTTTGATACAGTAACTTTCATTAAATTAAATTATCTTAAAGGTAAGAATACACATGTTCAGTCCCTAGTTAGGTAACCTTGAACCCCAAAAGAGTTCAGTATTACAACTCAACCTAAGAATAATTCTCCCCTGTTTATCCCTTGTTTGGCTAATGTATCAGAACTCAGAAGTACATCAATCTCTCTTAAAAGGCTTCTAATCTCCCTCATGGCCTGCCAATGAGTCCATATCCCCATGCTACCTTTTTGTCACCACCCTATTACCAACTTCAAATTCCCATTCACTTCCATCTGTTGGAGGCCCAATTATTTTGCCAATCTTAGCCCTTGAAGGAAGGCTAAAACTTCAGTCCTTGGAGAGTCACCCACCCATATGGATCCAAAATATAATGCCACAACCTTTCCTTCTCCATCTCTTATCGCTCTACCTATGCTGGAATAGAGATGGAAATCTGACCCGCCCTTGCCCTGGTCAGGGCAATTTTTTCTGACCATTAATACTGTAGAGACATTGAGAAGATCTAGCCGCAGGGCTATTTTTGTAAATTTACTTATTTTGTTGTACATCTATTTTCTATACTCTTTATTTTGTACACTAAGGGCAGATTTGTCCTTTTACTTTCTTTAATATAAATATCTCTTTTAGGGTGTTGACAGTCACTAGGTGGCACACCCACCAAACTGTTTGTTCTTCTCTCTTTTCTATCTCTGTCGTTCGACTTGACTCTGACATGGTATCAGGGCAGGTCACGATCTGATCTGCATATAATATCTTTTCAATCATCTCTGTTACTGTTGTCTCAAGAGCTCTCTATCAGTATTTGAGAGGCTCTTGAGTGCCTTTGAATCTTCTCCCCAGAGCAGCTTCAGATCTGAACTTTACAGATCTTTTCTCTAGACTGTTGCGCCATCAGATTTCTCCTTGTTGGATCTCCTTGTAGAGACATTGGGTCAGCCTGAAATCTTAGATCTGGTGTCGCCCAGAGCAGATCTATTGAATCCTTTTGGTTTGGTTTGGATCAGTTTTGATTTTGAAGGGTTTCGATCCACTTTTCAGTTCGGCAGAATATTACTGTTACCTTTTTTGGACCTCGGCTGAAAGGTACTATCTTTTCTATCCTCTGGTTCAAATTTTATTGGTTTCCTGGAAGTGTGCATTGCTGTCCTTTGTCTTTCAATGGCATAAAAAAGGATGGAGGTTCTCCCTATTAAATTCAATGGCACAAACTATGCATTATGGAAGTTTAGCTTTCAGTTCCATGTCAAAGCCAAGGGTCTTTGGGGATATCTGGATGGTTTTGTAGTTAAACCTGATGATTTAGATGTTAAGGGTCTTAAGGAAGATAGACAATGCAAAAATTGCATCATAGATCTTAGGATCAGCCGAAACTGACATTGCAATCCCTATGAAAGGCAGTGACTTAAAAGGCGTGCCTTAGGCGCACAAGCAAGGCGCATTTCAGGGCCCTTTCAAAAGGCGCACGCCTGGTGCGCCTCAGCCCAGGTGTGCGCCTTTTGAAAATTTGACACACCTAGATCACCTTGTGGTGAATCATGGAAACTATTATAGTTTGAGAGTCTAAAGGTGAAGCGGTGAAGCTCTTAGATTCTAATCATATCGGTGTTTGTTGCCATTGTAAGTCTATTAGTCTGTAATGTCCCCTCCCATTCTCCTTTTTTTAACCATCTTTCTTTTAATTGGTGTCAATGATAACCAATAAATAAGCTTGTAATCCCATTTTGGTTTGTGGATTTTATGGATTGTTGATTTACGGTTTTATATAATGGTTCGATTTACTAGAATTTCTTGTTTGGTTTACTAGAGTTTCCTATTCCTTGTTTCTCTCTCTGGGTTTACCGTATTTTAACAAATTTGCAAGTAAGCTGATCATTCATGTCTATCATGTGGTAGCAGACATTTGAAATGACCATTTCAGTAGCTTGTCCAGGGTGGGGTAGAGCAAATTTGAGGATCCCCATTCCCTGCGGGGATGGGATGGGGTTGGGATTTCCAGCCCTGCCTGGGTATAGAGCAAGGATGGGGTGTGGTACGTGTGTGGGGTTGGGGATGGGGCATGCGAAAACCATCCCTGGCCTACCCTTGAAGGACCTGGGTTACCATAAGGAATTACCACCAAAATTTGACTTATATCTTTGACCTATATTAATGGGGTCCAACACTCCTGGATCATAGACTTTGAGGATGAAGAACTTGCTAGTTGTCACTGCCTTCCAAGTCATAAAAAAATACTCCTTGAACAACTCCAATGTTTTTAACCACTAACCTTGAAGGTAATACTGTCTATTAGCTCTTTCTTTAATTTTGCCTTTTCTTGAAAGATTTCATTATTTCTTTCTTCCCAAAGTGCCCCAACTATTGCTGCTGTTGTAGCCCTCCTCTCCACATTGTTCTTCCCCTTTTCCTCCGCTGCCTCAAGGAGTTTGCATCAAAGAGACCTGCAAAACAAGAAGGCTATGTCCATCTACAACCAAAGAGAGAAGAAAACCAATTCCGAATGGACAAGATATTAGTAGGTGGGTTGCTGTCTCGTCACAGTCAAAACAGAGGAAGCAAACATTAGGGGAGAGACACCAACTTGGCCTCCTTTTTTGTAGAAAATCACAAGTGTTTATCTTATTGAGAACCACTTCCCAACAGAAGGTCCTAATTCTTAGAGGTACTGGACTACACCAAACTTGTTTAGCTGTTTTTATTGTTCTTTGATGCACATTACCAGACAATCTGATCCGATTTTCCCCAAGGCTGTAACAAATTGAGGCTACCCCTAGGTTCCTAACAATGCATTCATTTCTAACTTATTCTTACTGGTTTGCCACTCCTCTAACTCAATGCCCTTCTCAAGACAGATATTTATTCTTTCTGAATATTTTGCCCTATGAATCAAGACATTCGTATGGGCATCTTATAATACTCTCTCTTAGTTCAATTAATATTTATTGTTCATACAACACTTGAGAAGAACATCATCAAAGTTTTAACTATGGCTTGCCTCTTGTGAACATACTCTTTTAATAAATATGTCTTGTATTTTGTTGGAACTCTGGGTGCTGGGTTCCTGTGAATGGTGCAAAGATATCACCATTTTACCCAATGTCTACCTTGTGCATTTCTACACGATCTTTCTTCTCTTCTTTGGTGAAGAAGAAGGATGGCCTAAATAAGTAAATAAGCTCAGCAAATCTATTTGAGCTTTTTACTTACATCCAAATAAAGAGAGGAAGAAGATATTGGTTTTATCATGAGGAAGACGATGGCAATAAGGTTCCCTCCTCTGAAGATTCTTGCAAATATTGCTTTCATCATGATACACCTCCCAACTAAGAGCCTTAATTTTAGATGGCACTTGTCCTCCTGAAATAGCCTTTCACAGACAAATGGTGTAGAGGGAGTATAAGTGAGGGTCTTGACAAAAGAGGATAGGTAAGTAGACCAATGGAATTTGGAATTCAAATCATGGAGTTCACAAGAAAGACATCTTTCAAAAAATCAGGAATGAAGATGCATGAAGTCATCAAAAGCATACATGGAAAGCTATCCAATTGCTTTGTCAATGTGATTTCACCTAAGGAAATATGGCGCTTTTTTTTTTGTTTTTTAAATCTGGGCAGCCAATTGTTTTGAACCTCAATTTGAGGCAGGATTAAATGAGGAGTTGAGGATCCTTTAGGATTGGCACCTGGGGGAAGACTCAAGTACTACCTTGGCCAATTAGTCATTGAGCTGCCCAAAATATCAACATATCTCTTTATCACCCCTTCATCTAAGTTAAAAACCTATAATGAACACTTGTGCCTTTAAACTTGAGATGCATTCAAAACATTGCAAAAGAAGTTATAGGTTTTTTCTCCATCTTTCCCTTTATGTTAACAAATTTCATCCACGACTCTATGAATTGTACATGGATGACAACCACTTGTTCTCTACCCAACCTCCACCCCCCAGTTAAGTTTAATCCATCTTCTCTAGTGATTAGTTGGCTAAGGACATCTACTATCAGGGTTGACAAAGAGGAGATAATAGGTTTCCTTGCCTAAAACCTCTCTTTGTAGGAAAGAAGCCTTTCCACCTCTTCATTGACCAGAATTAAATAATGACAAGACTATAAATATCCTTTGTTCCGTTTTTCCCACTTCTGCCCAAATCCATACTTTTTTTTATGAATGTTTCCCACCTTTACAAGTAAAGGGTGTTTGGGAGAGGTATTCATCATCTGATGTCCTTTGTTGCATTTGTTACCCAGTGTATATGAACTATGAGACAGATAACCCAATGAATGCTGGGGTAGCTCCATATGAAAGATATTCTATCTCTTCTTGATCATTGCCTTGTATCTGGTTATATTGTCTTTTATTTTACTATTTTTTTGAGGGATTGGTTACACTATTCATGCTATACAGGCAAATTCTTTGTGCAGGGGTGGTGGTGATACTTCATGGCATAAGGCTGGCAGCGGTGCATACAAGCTAAACTCAATATATGATTTTATTGCATGCGGAAAGTACTTGATTAATGAGGGCTATGTTCATAAGGATAGGCTTGGTGCTATTGGATTTAGTGCAGGAGGTCTCCTTGTGGGGGCTGCAATAAACATGTATCCTGATTTATTCCGTGCTGCTATCTTGAAGGTCTCCATTTCTCATCGTTCTATTCAGTGTTATTGTTTGGTAGAAAGAAGTGTTCAAGCTTCTGTGCTATGTTTTTCTTACTTTATTTTCAATGCTAGTTCCTAATATTTACCATCTGTCATATGGTAACATGACAGAAAATGTCAATGGACCGACAGGCAAAGTTAAAAATCTGTAGGAATTAGTAGTGTGGTTTCTGTGAATATGAAAGGAAGTACTTGTATCTACTATTTAGGGCTGACTTGTTTTGGTTGGAACTTTTGATAGCTATGTTTATGGGGATGCCATCTTATTGGTTTTCCTGCTAGTTTATTATTAATATTGACGTAACTTCAGTGTGGGGCAGGGTTTTCAGGCCTGATATTTTTGATAGCACGTTGCTGTAAACAAGTCAGCCTAAAGAAGCAAAGTTATGGCTGAATAAAGAGGGGACATTGGTCACCAATTGGGTTAGGTACTCTTTCCAGGGCTTGCTAAAGGAACAACAAGAGTGTCAACAGTTGTTGAAGCTAGTTCTGCATAGTTCTGGTCAAGTGGTTTTCATTGGGAACCAGGATTTCCTGATGAGTAGCTATTAAGGGACAGTGAGGGTTCTAAGAATGAAATGGATGAAGTGGCTTAACTAGGAAACTAAATGAAGATGTTTACTAGTAGCAGTATAAAGAAGAGCTAGAAGAGAATAACACAGAGAACTAAATAACAATTAGGTACAATACTACCGCAGTCGACATCAATAGCTTCTCTAGGAGTCATCATTGAACAGAGCAGTGGCACTGAAGTTTTTAATTTATTCATCTCAAAAGAGCATTTTACATTGTTTTTTTAGAGAAAATGTGAGATCTAGAAGGGATTTCTGTCCTAATCATAGTAATAAAAAATGTCAGTGATCTTGCAATTATTTTTTTTACTTAGAAAATTTCAAGATTCAACAAAAATATTTGGAACATCTAATATTAAAGATATTCAATATTATCTGGGGCCCAGTAACTTGAATCTTCAAGCTGGGTTTGTTCGGATGGACCTAATTTCATGGCTACAGGCAAAAGCCTTCTTTTGCTTGGGCCTGTTGCAATAGACTTGGCCCACCTTCATCGTTTCCCAATTTTCCCCTCAATAAAAGAAAAACCCGATATAAGGAGAGGGCATGGGTATGTTGAAAATTATAATTTCAACCATGCAACTTTAGAGAGTCTCTGTTGGAGAGGTAGGGATTGCTTGGCCTAAATGAATAAAAATTTTCATCTGTTGGGCAATCTCACGGTTTAGGTTATTATCAGGGAAGATGGAAGAAAAAGAAATGCTTTGCCATTTATTTCTAGAACAATTTACAATGCCATATCTTCTCTTCTTATTGAGAGGGAAATATGATAATCTTCATGAAATTCCTCTAGACTAAATAGTTGGTGTTTCTGTTCTCAACTATAATGGTGCATGATCTCACAGGATGATGTTTGATCCATGTTTTTGTCAGGTTCCTTTTCTTGATATCTGTAACACATTGTTAGATCCAAGTTTACCTCTCACCATCTTGGACTATGAAGAATTTGGTGACCCTAGGATTCAAGAACAGTTTGAATCTATTTTTAATTACTCTCCTTATGATAACATTCCTCAAGGCGTTTGTCATCCTTCAGTGCTAGTTACGAGTTCATTGCATGACTCAAGGCAAGTAATAAGGTCAACTGCCTCAATATAACTGTGTATATGCATGCATTTCTGGAAACATGCCCACCTTGTCACACATACAACTGTGTATATACTATATACATACATACATGCATACACATAGCACACATGGATGGATATATGAATTTTAACAGCTGTTGTTGAATGATGGTTTGGCTTTCAGAGTCGGTGTTTGGGAAGCTGCCAAATGGGTAGCTAAGTTGCGAGAGAGCACATGTTCCAGTTGTTCTCAATCAGTCATCCTGAAAACAAATATGAGCGGGGGACATTTTGGTGAAGGTGGTCGTTTCAGCCACTGTGAAGAGGTAGCTTTTGAGTATGCCTTTCTGATGAAAGTGGTGGGAATGCATTATGGTAATCAGTAAGATGGAGTTTTGTGGAAGGGAGCTGTTCTATGAATCATTAGGGGAACTTTAGATACTGTGCCTTCAGAAAGATGGAATTCCTTGGAGATCACTAGAAGTGAGAATCAACGAGCTTTTTCAAGGCATCCCATCCCCAAGGTATTCGACATTGTCCTTTTCGGGTGCTTGTTTTGGCATATTATCATGGATGACTTTCTGAAGCTTATTAAAGGTTGTCTGGACTAAGCTAGATTTGATTTTCTTTTGATAGTAAATAAAAGAGAGCTTTCATTGAGTTAATAGGAGTTAGGGTAATGAGCTAGTGCTCCATCTTATATGAAATACATCAAAATAAGACTTGGTTTCTCATGCTACAAATTCAAATTACAACATCAAGTTACAGAATGAGACATTATCTATCAATGTTCCTTTTTATTTCTTTTCCTACTCTCCAAATACCCACCTCTAAACCTTTATTATATGGCAAGAAGGAAGTCTATGTGAAACATGGAAGTTATCTTGGAAAATTCATGATTAAAACCATGTAAATAGTTTTATACTGGTAAGATGACAGTAAACTTGTCAAGTAAAAGATTTCATGCACATATTTGTTCTGGATCTGCTGAAGTGCTTTGTTGCCATAGGGATGTGCATGGGGTTCAAGTTTGACCGCTTCCATAAGCTGAGTCTTTAATATAAAATTCAACAAGGTCAAGTATTGACCTTGTTGAATGTGAAATGACATTGTGTTAATATTGCAGGTACTGTTTAGAAGACTGACCATCAGCTCTAGTATTGACAGGCTTTCATTTTTCATATATACGGGTACAAGAAAATGGAAGACCGGTTCCAAAGGGAATCCCATTGTAGTAGATTTGATTTCAATATGGTTGGTTCACTGCCTGTGCTCAGTAGCCTTCTACCATGTTCCACTAAACAAAGGATTAAATCATAATTCACAGTATTTTGAGATGATCAGTGTGTATACACCAAATCCATGTAATGATGACCAGTGATGACCTCTGTCCGTACAAGACTTGTGGGGGCCTCAACCTATTTTATTTATTGCTATAGTTTTGTATTCCCTTTTTACAATTTTGTAACAAAAAATATTGTTATAAATTGAAGTTAATAGAAGGTAAAGCATGAGTACCAAAATCAAATAGAAGGGAAAATGTTATAAGTTTGTAATACACAATCCTATAGAAGAATAAATTACAATGCTATTAAATGGTATGGAAGTGGTATTTAAAGCCAAGGTTCAAAGTATTGACTTGTATCGGCCCATATCGGCAGATACATATCATTCCGGGACCCCTCCGATATGCCCCTATAGTGGGTGTTTCGGGGGTCTGACTGGTTCAGGGGGTGGAGGAACTCTAAACCTGCCCCCTGAACCGGTTTTAAAAAAAAATAAAAAAAGTGAAAAAAAGGTATCAATTCACCCGATAGGCCGGTATTTTGAACCTTGTTTAAAGCATAATTTACTTGGAGTAAAATTGAATTGCCAGATCTAGGAGAACCAAATGGGTTGGACATAATAGTCCTTGAGAACTCAGGACGCAACTAATTACCTAAAGTTGCTTACTGATTAAAATTATTCTAGCTAATAATATAATTGTTCATCAAAATACATTCTCGCCAATTTTGTAGTAAAAATTACTTCTTTAAAAATTTATCTTCTAAATCAGAGTCATCCACTAGTAGGTGAGGTCACTGAGGTGTAAGGGAGGAGTGCTAAAATCTAATATGGAAAGTTGCTATAAATAAATGAAATCAATGTGCTATTTACTCTCAAGGGTAAAGCTGTGACATGAAACTTAAGGGAGGAAATAATTATTACACTAATACATGATATTGTGGTGGACTAGTGGCTTTCAAGATTCTATTTTTTGAACTACCATTGGTTTTTTGGTGGGGGAATCAAATACAAAAACCATCAAATGGAGAAAAAAACAGAGCCATCAATAAATGGGGATACAACTAGTTGCCTCAAACTGTTTCTTTATTAGAGTATTTAGACTAAATTCCTTTACCTCTTACTAGAGCATCCACTACTTTTGATGAATGATAACCCGTCAGGTTATGTGTTTTGCCATATTGGCTAGGGGTATTGTTGTACTTCTAATGCTTTTAAGCAACGTGGGTCTTCCAATTCCTTCTTGGTTGCTCACTGATATCTTGTAAAACCTTGAGGGGGTTTCCTTTGTTAGACGGTGAATTTTGTAGGATACTGGAAAATTTGGCGTTATGCCCATTATGAGTGCCTAGGTTACTAATTACTAACTATATATGCAGAAAATTTGTATGGGAAGTAGCAAAGTTTTCCTTTTTTCCTTGTATTTGTTTTTCTGTTCATACTACAAAACCTTTCTTCTATATCTGAAATGGCAAAATCCTTCTAATATTAGCCCAAAGATGTTAATATGTGATGCATAAAGACACACAAGGCGTAGAAAGTAGAAATTAGGACTATACACACACTTCTGGAAGGTCCGCAGAGATGTATTTTTATTATTACTTTTATTTGGGGGTGGTTGTGGGGGTTGTAACAATCTTCCAATTTATACAAGGCATTAGTCCAAGATAGCGAATGAATGTCTTTCATGGGTGGGTGTTGATTCGTGTCACTAATACCCTAATATTTTTGCAGCCTGCTCATCCACGAGCACTTAATTGTGAATTTATAGCTCGTGAGATTTCTTTATTTGCATATTAAATAGTGGGCGTCTACTCGGTTCCCTTTCTGAACCCATGAAGACTCAATTCTTCGGAACTAATGACAGGGCCGATGGGTAATGCCGCAATGGTCCATCAGTGAATTAGAATCAGTTCATGTGATATTTCACACATACACACAAAAAAAGATGGGCTTCTGAGCTTCTCCCTTATCACCTATACTCAAGTTATGGACTACAGTGATAGATCGGACGGCTGAAAGACCCTTTGTTCCCTACTTATCCGTTTTGGGTAATAGGACGTGGTGTACCTAGGAGCAATCAGTGAGGGGTAGTGGGTCCTCCATGCAACCAGTCACGGGCTTACATGGAATATATCACATGTGGAAGTCCTGTATCCATTATACATATTCAGTGGGGAAGCAGAGCAAGTAGTATCTGAGCATTTTCCTTGACAAAAGAAAAAACGAAAGGGGTGGGGGTGGGGGTGGGGGTGGTATTGAATGCATCTCTCTCTCCTCCATTACCTACTTAGAAACCACAAGCCAGGGGTGCATTTGTAGTGTTCCATCAACCAATTGAGTGAGGCGGCTATTAAACATCACATCCAGCAAATACACACACTTCTAATTTTATATTATCAACTTTATTGATTAAAGTAATGTAGTAAGAACCATGGAATAATAACAACATAAAAAATACTATATTGTATATTAACTGGCCATCAAGCCATGTCGAAGCTGGCCTATTTTTAAATACGGAGAAGTATGGATTCATCTGATGCAGAATTCTGAATTCCAGCCTCCTCTTACTAATAGCCCTATCCCTCCTATAAATCACATCCTGTCCGTGAATTTGACATCAATTCATGGTCAGGATGCATTTCCCCTGTACTATACTATGAGACTATAAAATTCTTACCTGGGCTGATTGTTAAATATTGATTGGTTTTTGAAATCCACGACAAAAAGGTCAGAGGGAGGTCAACGAGAGCATCTCTCTCTCATCCATTGCCCACAGAGAGCGCTTCTGCGCAGCTAGAGACCGAGACAGAGAGAGAGAGAGAGAGGCTAAAAAGCGAGATGTCATCTCGTCTCGTGGGCTTTTAGAATGACGCAACCAGAAGCTCTTCACAAGGCTCACAAGTCACAACAAACGACACGACACTGTGCATTTACTCGTTTAGGCCTTCTCTCCTCAATTCATCTCTCTTAGCTTTTTCACTCTTTATTGCTTTTTGGTTTAGCTAAGTTTTTCACCCTCATGGACCGCCACTTTTTGTTTATTCTTGTCATAGTTTTTTTTAATTGATGCCGGGTTTCTAGTTCTGGGCCACGCGAGAGGCCAAGATGTGCTTCCCTTTCCTGATCCTTGATCCTCCTTGCATTTATTTCAGCATCTAACCCATTAAATACCCTCCTGGGTGCATGATGGCCCGCCGACCGAGGTTGATGAAGGATTCCTTCAACTTTTTAACAGTTCGATGATGGAATTGGAAGTCCCCAACCCACAAGTATGTGTTTGTTAATAATGTGCCTGTGGGCTGTGTGAGATATGGGAAGGGGGGAGGGCATTGGCTGTGGTTGAACACTTGAACTTGAACTTGCAGAAATGGACATCCCCGAATGGATGACTTACCTACTGCCTTCTCCTAAACTCCAGATTGGGACGATACATCGGGGGCATTTCCGTCAATGCATCTGCAAAAGGACGATGCATCGGGGGCCACTTTGGTTCATGATCGGAATCAGAATCCCCTGATATCGGAATCGTAATGATCAATCCCCCCTCACCTATTTGGTTCAGGCTGGAATTCCATTTCCTGGGAGGAGGGGGGAGGGAATGGCCATATTCCAATTCCACCCCACTAAACAGTTGAAATCGGGATAAATTAATTACAAACCTCTATTTACACAAACCAAACGGGCCCTAAATTTCTCTCTCTTTCTTTCTCTCTCAATCAATGCCATGTTTTGCGCTCCCCTATGCCCTTAGCCCTCTTCAAAAAAAATAGGCTTTGCCTGCCCAGTTTCCAAGCTTTATACCAAAGCTGAGAAACGTCGAATACATTGTTTGTGAAGTGCATTTTATACCGCGGTGGAGTGAATTAAGAGTATTGAATGTTGCAAGGAAAAGAAATATCTCTACTCTGTACTCTCTACCAAGAAAAAGCGTCCTATGTCCGGCCCTACTAGAGGCCAAATGCTGTTCCTGTACTATCTATACTTCCATGAGACTTGCTGGAGGAGAGAGAGATATTGATATATGGCCAGTCACACGGTGCTTGTATGTGCCTGTCTGATGTTGACTATTACTTGGTTTCTATTACTATAGTCTACAAATTGCGATTCTGCCCCATCAAAATTGGGATTGGGGGTCCACACTCCTTTTCATTCACCATTCACAAACCCTAAATTCTACCTGCCAACAACAATCTCCATTAAGCCATTTTCTATTAATCTATAATGTTTCCACTCATCCTATCGCACCCTAAAACCCCAAAGAAAAAGCCATTTAATTTCATTTCAATGATGTTTCTACTCATCCAATCCCATTTTAACCTCCCCCCTCAAAAAAAAAAAAAAAATCCATTTTATTATTTAGTGGTCGTGTGGAAGTGATTATTATTGGGTAAATAAGTGCTTATCCTAATAAGCATTTGAGTGTTTGGTGAAAATTTCACTTCGCTCAAGCAAGGTATTATAAGTCTTTTTGAAAATTATTAGAAATCAAGGTTAACTCAGCACCAAATAGATGTTTTTCCAATGGAGCTTTAAATTTTGTTTGCCTAAGATGTTTATCAAGAAAATGTTTTTCTTGAGTTATGTGAGTTGGTGCATAATGGTGTCTAACAATCATAAAGTAAAAACAACGGAAAACTATGGACAGATCCAATGCAGATTTCCGAATTCCGATGCAGAGTTATAAACATTCAAAATGTCAAAAACCTCATTCTATACATCAATGCCCGCCCATGAATTGGCATCAATTCTAAGCTGCCACCCACCTGAATTATACTTTGGGCCTAAAAATTCTGACCCTGGGCTGAACTGTCATTCTCCCTAAAAATATAAACGTTTTGTCCTGAATTTCAAGACAATTTCGTACAAAACATATTTTGATAAACATCAACAGAACTAAACAGCTCTTATATGGCAGGCTAAGATGGGCTAAAAACACAATAAAGACTTTTTTTATAAAGTGCTTAAAAAACAAAGCCAAATTGCTTATTTCCTAAAAACCATTTATTTCCTAAATGCATATAAGTGCTTATTTATTGGTGTAGTCCCAACCTAAAATAAGAGTTTTACAATAAAGTACCTAAAAACAAGAACTCCCAAATGGGAAGCTAGATTTACTCCCCACAAAACACTCTAGTATTCACACCAACCTCACACCCTATCTCTACAGTTATTTGGGAATATCTCCCCATGAATGTCAACAGCATAAATACTGTTAATGCTGTGAGCTTGGTGTGTGAAGCGCTCTCTATCAGGACACCGAGGAGCAACTCCGGATTATTCCCCAAACGAGGCTTATATTATTAGGGATTGATTCGGGCACACTGCTAATGAAATTATCAACATCCCATTGTTTGCATTGATCAAAAGTCAAAAACCACATGAAATGCTTTTGCCTTTTCAAAGATCAGACATGTACTTGATGATTCATTTACAAAAAAAAAAAAAAAAAAAAAACTTCATGATTAGAGATATAACATTGTTGGCCCAAATCACTCCCCTTCCTTTTTAACCCATGTATAACAACCATGCTAACCATAGGAAAAAGCCACAACCGGTTCATTTATGGTTTAGATAGACTTGAGTGTGAATTGTGAAACCTATCCTTTTCTTCTAATCTACAACTAAGTAACAAACTAACAACACAACAAACAGAAGAAACAGAACCTATCCTTTTTCATTTCCATTCATTAGCTACAGATTTGGCACACAAAAAGAAACTGGGAAATTGCCATCTCCTTACTCCATTAGATTTATTAGATTCCAGTTGATAAAAAAAAATATTGTGAAATAAAACCGGAAAGCCTCAACACTCTGACAGCCCTTATATCGCGGCCCTTCATTTACTCGACCGTTTTGGTTTTTGCTTCTTCTGACACCTGGCACCGTTAACTCCATCTAACGGCGCAACCGACAACATAACGGAGCTAATTAACGATAAATCGTAACGACATATTGCGATAATTTGTCGGCATCGGACAGGTCACAAACGAGACGAATCTCGAGGATTCAGACCATCGGTCATCGGAGCTCCGAATCGAACGGCAACCTGATTGAGGCTTCTCTTTTTTTTCGGGTGATTCGTGTAGGGCTTTCAATGGGTGGATCATGTGACATGCGTGGGCCAGAAATGGGCCGTGTGGGGCCCAGGGCCTCGATTGGCGATCGCCACGTATGAAGTGATTGGCTGTCTGAGCTGTTTGACCATGGTTGGACAGGATCGGGCTGAGACAGGCGGAGGGAACTAACCCTGGTTAAAAAGTAAGGTGAGCGGAGGTGGGGTTCATCGAAAGCTGTACGGCACCTCCTCCTCCTCCTCTTTCTCCTCCCCCTTTTGTGTTGTTGTGTATATACTCTTTACTCTATATACATCACCGACGCCGAATTGACAGCTTCGCCATTTTCTCTCTTTATTATGAACCATTTTCCGGTGATTTTTTTCGCCGGGATCTGGTCGATCAAACCGGCTTTTCGGTGAGGTGTATCGGATCGGCCCCTCAAAAATATGTGATTGGAATTCTTTGTTAAAGAGGAAATCTCGAGGTGTTTGTTGTTACCGGTTTGTATATTGTGGAGGTTTTTCGATCTTCAAACGATTAGAAATTCAGGGTTAGGTTTTGTTTTCGGTTGCAGATCGAAGTGAGGGTTTTGGTTTGGTGGTAATGTATGTGGCTTGAGGGACATTTTTGAGAGAGGAGCTTAGTCGAGTGAGGTCTGAAATTAGTGAGCTTGTGGGGGAGTTCGTGAATCGTTAGAGGGCGAGTTGATAGCAGGAATTTTATTTCTTTTACATGATTGTTTTGTAGGATTTAGGTGAAGTTTTGATTAGAAGAGTTTTAGATTTTGTTTAGTTCTTGCTGTGAATTTGCTTAGCATTTTCAGGAATGCAAGATTTGGGTGGGTGGAGTGGAGCCGGGGTAGATAGCGACTTTTACTCTCCCGGGAATATTTTTTTAAGCTTTACTAAATATAGTCTAAGGGTTTTGTTGTAATATTTTAATACTGCATTGATCGGAATCGAGGAGGTTTTTACAGTTTCGAGGTATTTTCGGTTTGAGTTATTTATAAGCATGAATAATCGTCTTATTTCTTAGAGGAGAGGGCATCTATCGCTTGTTACTGATTGATTTATTCACGAACTTGGTGTTTTGCCTCTTGCTGATTGATTATTCACGAACTCAGTTAGATTAGACATCAAACAAAAAGGGGGTTGAGTTGAATTTGCAATTTCTTCTCTCTTGCGGTCCCCCAATCCCGTTTCTTCCCTTTATCGATTACTGCATTGTCGTCGGACAGGCGGCGGTTTCATATCGGAATCGATGTTTCTGATGGGGTAAAATAGTTGAGCCTCGACGTCTGTATGGGGGAAACAAGTCTCAGGGGTCGGTGTCACGATGTGCAAGTCGGAAAATTCTGACAAAAGGTTTGATTTCGGAGTGGAGAGGGAGAAACGGTGGCAGATGGCCTTCAAGTATCTGGGGGAGAGCAAAGTTGAAAAATTGAAGAGTTCGATGGTTCCTCGATCTCGTATGAAACTTTGGATGATCCGGGCGACGACTACCGTCTTACTCTGGACTTGTGTTGTCCAGTTGACGGCACTGGGGGAGATGTGGGGGCCGAGGGTGTTGAAAGGTTGGCCTTCGTGCTTTACGCCTTCGGATTCCCCTTTGTCCGTCAGATTGTCTTCTGCTCCAGCGAAAGTTGTCCTTCCACCCAAAAGTGAGTTCCCGAACTTTGAAAATTTCACACTGATTTGTTTCGTTTCCTCCTTTTAATCTAATTGATTGATACCGATTATCCACGTTTCATGTCGAGAAAAACCAACATTTTTTTTTCTGTCCTTGAGATTTTACACAATGACTTGTGCGTGTAAGGTTAATGGAAATATATTCTCTCTTACGTCTGAAGTGTGATCACGAGAGCTTCTCTTTGGTACATCGGAGTTTTATTCCTCTCGACTTGGGAGTAATTCGTAATTGAAGATTTCATACCTTGTCGATAATATCTCCAGTCCTTTAGAGTTTGCTCTCATGAAAGTTTGGTCAAGATGCCACCTTGCTTCGGAGTTTTATTCCTCTCGACTTGGGAGTAATTCGTAATTGAAGATTTCATACCTTGTCGATAATATCTCCAGTCCTTTAGAGTTTGCTCTCATGAAAGTTTGGTCAAGATGCCACCTTGCTTTTAGTCTGTTCAATATAGGTGAAGTTCTTCTTCTAAGAGATCCTAATGTGATTGATTTAATTTCATTCGGTGTAGCATCTCATGTTCATAGATCTGTGAACACCACCATGGCGTCTCCTCCGGTAGAAGTATTGGATTTTTTCTGCTTTTTTTTTTCTAGGAATTATTTTCAGTCATTGATTACAGCATAAAGCCATCTCCTATGGTATTCCTTTATTCGTGTAGTGAAAGTCCTTGCAATTATCAGTATTATTGTTTACCTTTGTTGATGTCTACGAGGTAGACCCCATTTGGCACTCTAGTTATTCATTACTATTTGTTTTTTGTTCTATAAGTGTTAGAGAGCTCTGGTCTTGACAATAAATCTAACTTATTTATTACCTGCTGCAGGGGTTTACAAGAACAATGGTTACCTGATGGTTTCTTGCAATGGAGGACTTAATCAGATGCGAGCAGCGGTGAGTGATCAGCTACTTGTATCACATTTTTCAAGCCTTGGCATTTTTCTTTCAGTGTGGACATGCTATCTCGTTTGGTATTGCTATTTACCTTTGCTGATAAAATTTTGGGCATCTTCTGTAGATCTGCGATATGGTTGCCATTGCAAGATATCTAAATGTCACACTTATTGTCCCCGAACTAGATAAAACCTCCTTCTGGGCTGACCCCAGGTGAGTTGATCATCTTGCCTAGGTGACTCGGTGAACTTATTAATCAGGCTTTTTTTTTTCCTGAAGTTCTTAATAATATCTGTTTTTTGCTATCACAGCGAGTTCCAAGACATATTTGACGTGGATCATTTCATAACATCATTGAGAGATGAGGTACGCATATTGAAAGAGTTGCCACCTAGGCTCAAGAGAAGAGTAGAACTAGGAATGCTCTACTCCATGCCACCCATTAGTTGGTCTGACATTTCGTACTATGTTAATCAGGTCTGGTTGCTCTCCAGTCTCATTCTGTTGGATTTTTACTATTTGTCTTATATTTTCAGCTCAGGCTTACTATGCAACACTTCACCAAATAAGTGCAATTAACATCCTTTTTTTTGTTTTTTGCAAACAGATCCTTCCTCTCATACAGAAGCACAAGATCATACATTTAAATAGAACAGATGCTCGACTTGCTAATAATGGTTTGCCTGTGGAGATTCAGAAGTTGCGTTGCCGAGTAAATTTCAGTGCTCTGCGATTTACCTCTCAGATAGAGGAATTAGGCAGACGGGTTATTAAGCTTCTAAGGCAAAATGGCCCTTTCCTTGTTCTTCACCTCAGATATGAAATGGACATGCTAGCGTTCTCTGGATGTACTCAAGGTTGCAATGATGAGGAGGTGGAAGAGTTGACAAGAATGAGGTAGGCTTCATTTTTTGTGACAAAATATTAGTTGTTCTGTCATTCATCTGACGTACTTAATGCCATTTTTGTAATTTTGTCAGATATGCTTATCCATGGTGGAAGGAGAAAGTCATAAATTCTGACCTGAAAAGAAAAGATGGCTTATGCCCATTGACACCTGAGGAAACTGCTTTAGTATTGAAGGCATTGGATATTGATCGGAATATTCAGATTTATATTGCTGCCGGAGAGATATATGGTGGGCAAAAGAGAATAGCAAGTCTGGCAGAGGCTTATCCAAATCTGGTCAGTAGATGGATGATAAAGCAAGTATTCAATTTCATTACTTGGGTATCCTGCCTTTTGTAACAGCTTTGGTTTTTGGAACAGGTGAGAAAGGAGACACTGTTGGAACCCTCAGATCTCATGTTTTTCCTGAACCACTCATCCCAGATGGCAGCATTGGATTATCTGGTCTCGCTTGAGAGTGACATCTTTATTCCTACATATGATGGAAACATGGCTAAAGTTGTTGAAGGCCATCGCAGGTACTATACTGCTGTTATTTTGGTCCAGAAGCCTAGTTCAATAGGCTTTGGATTAACACAATTGGATTTTGGTGCTTTCACCATTTTTAACTTTTGTCATCATCCTTGCTCCACTTTTTACTTATCTCTAGAAATCAATTATAAAATCCCTGCTTGACAAAACCAACATGCCGTAACTGATCCTTAGCCATTGCATTTTCTAAACGGGGATGAGTTCTTGTCCAGTAACCAAAACCCCAAGAACAGAGCAACCTGTATTCTTTGATACACCCTACCTGAGACTAATTTGCTCAACTTAATTCAATTGAATTTTATAAACCTGGAACCCACATTGCTGCACTTCCAGAACCATATATTGGAAAAAACCAAATGCTACCTTTATTTTCTTATTTGTATGTTTAACAGGATGGATAGCATTGTTTTTATTGACTGAGGCTTAAATCCAAAGCCAAAAATTGCTTTGGTCATTGGATTTAATGGTCCAAAATGTAACCTTGACATTTATCCATTAAAAAAAGTTGACTTGGTTTGTCATGAATCTTCGGTGACTTTCTGAAATGAGAGGGTTCTCAGTTACAGGTGGAAGTTAACTGATTGGTTTACCGGCTTTTTCCTCCTGTTACCAATATTGTTATCACTTTATAATTATCGTTGGTTTTTCTAATTCAGATTTTTTTTTGTTTTTTTTATTGAGGTTAAAAGTCTGACTTTTTCCCAATTCTTTTCAGATTCCTAGGGTTCAAGAAGACAATTCTGTTAGACAGAAAGCTTCTGGTTGATCTGATTGACCAATATGAAGATGGATTACTGGACTGGAATGAGTTCTCATCTTCAGTGAAGGAAGCACACCAAAATCGAATGGGAAGCCCAAATAGAAGAGTGGTGATTCCTGACCGACCCAAAGAAGAGGATTATTTCTATGCCAACCCACAAGAGTGTTTGCAATTGCCAGATGAGCCATTAAGTAGCAGCACATAAGCTTTATCACTGAGACGGGATTGTTTTGTTTGATTGTCAGCCCCCTAAATCGCCATTCCTCCAGTCTTAATGATCTAGTTCCCTACATAGAGGTAAAAATTGAGAACGATTGTGTTCTGGAAGCAGAGAAGGATGGAGCATCTTGGGAAGCACTCGGGGGTGACCAGGGAAGGTTTATTGGGAAATTGCTGGATTATATTTATATGTTTTATATTCACAAATAATACGATTCTTGTATAGAGAGAACCCTGCCATTGCAGGAAAATATCACATCAGCTGCAATGTACAACAAATGGGGATTTAATAGAGATTCAGTTTATTGGAATTGGGGGACTCAGCTGAAGGTTAGTCCCTCTTCTTTCATATCCGTGTTCTGTTAGTCCTCTCCCTGATTATCCCACGTCTCTCCTAGCATTTGTTACAGTGTTTCCATTTGCTATGTTTGATTTGAATCTGCATATGTTACCCATATAATTAATTTGAAATCTATATGTTGGAATCTGTTGATGCCATGGTGTCCTGGCAAAAGAGATGTTTCAAGTCTTTTCAAGTTACAGAACAAATAATAGTTTAATGAGGCATCAATTACACACCGTCAGTCTTCATAACAAAACCTTCTGGCCTAACAAATGAGATCTTAAAAATCTCTTTTACAAGCCAACTTTGGAGACAAGATGATAAGGTGAACTTACTTTTTTGCTAATGGAAAAGAAGTACCGTTTCCTGTTCATTCTATGTCTGTTTAATATTCTCCTGGTGGTTGTTCAGTCGCTTCCAAACGTTGCCATTTCCAAAAGATTAAACGTATTACTTTGTCATCCAAGTGTTTTTTCTAGTCTTCGGTGCCAGTTACCAGTCGAGCTCAATATTCTTCATCCTTGGACCTAACCATGCGTCAAAGTGTGTTTTGTGCAGTTGGAATATTTGCCACCACCCACCAGATGCTCTTTAAGATAAACACTCTCTAATCCTTCATCCTCGTGGTAGGAAGGACTTGATAGTTGATGGTTCAGACCCCTTACCCACCAGCGTCAATGTCTTTGCTTTTTTCTAACTTTGTTTTCTTCTGTTTAACAATTCACTTCATTCTTGTCTTAAATGGTGCCATTGTGGATTGAGACCACTTTGGAAATTAATTAGTTAAAGCATTTTAGTGGTATTGAATTAGAGATTGTGGACATCTCCCTAATGCCGCCGAACTCTGGACAAAGATGGACCCCTCATACAAAAAGGAAAGTGATGTCCAAGGGCTATTCTGGTGGCTCGAATTTGTACCCTTATGAAAGTTGGAGATGGTCACCATCTCAGACTGGTCGGCACCATGTATTGGATTTAGCTGGTGGTGTGTTGGGCTCTTCACTCTTGCCCTTGGCATCAAATCAAGTAATAGTCCTTAAATTGTATTGTTTTGACTAGTTAATAGAATGGGGAATTGAATCAGACGGTTCACAGTTGAATGGGCATATTACTGAGTAGTCGATTCTTTGGGGGATTTTTAACCATTGACTCCGTTGCCCAAAGGAAATCAAGAAATTTGTTCGTCGTTGCAATACCCATTTTTTATTACACTATAATTATCTCCGGTGACCGGGCGACAGCAAACAATTTCCATCCATTAATTAGTATATATTACTGTGAATGTGTCAATTGAGCGTAAGCTGGACTTCGTAGCCTTTTGAACTCAACCTCACCCAACCCCGCTCTTCCCATCAATCAATCCTTAATTCCTCAACGGTTGAATATTTCCTCCGCCGTTGAAGAAGGTAGACCGAGTAAAGCAACCTTTTTAAGGGTGACTTTTATGCGTGGTTAGAAAATTGAAGGCACTCAACCAAAGTGAAAATGGAGGCACCGATAAAATTAAATGATTGCCCACAATGAGAACTGAAGAAATTTCATTTTCGACCCCATTTACTCAATTCTATTAAAAACTTTATATAGTTTTTTTTTTTCATTTCTTTTTTTTTTTTAATTATAGAAGCGTGTTGATCACGATGTGGTTGTATCCAGACAATTGAGGTTTTGGAATATCCTGAATTTTGACATGTGGCAAGCAAACAGGTCCCCCCCATTTCCTTGTGTAGTCCCATCCTTACAACGTGGCAAATTTTGATCCAATATCCCTTTGCCAAGTGGCAAAAAGAGTCATACTTCTCCAATCTTTCCATAGTCAACACATGCCAAAAAGGAAAAGTAAAAGCAATTTTGGGGGCTAGCGAGGAAGTGAAGTAGATAATGATGCAGAGACATGATGTAGACGGAGGCACTTCGTATTGTTGTGACTGATTCCAAATGCACCTCCATCTCCTTGAACATGAAATGGGTGGACCGGATTAGCCCAGCCATCCATTCACCTGATTGAGAGTAGCTATTTAGGATAAGCAAGAATCTTGAATGTGGGTGTGGCACAAAAGTGCTATACTCTAGTAAAACCCTGGTGAGGGATCCAAGAGAAGTATCCATTTAGTGATCCGAGAAAGCTTGTCTCACCAATCCAAGAAAGTCCACCCGAGGTGCCTCGATGTGTTCCTGGTAATTCCAATAATTAGACTGAATTTGACTGTACACAGCAACATTTATTGGACCGTAGCTTTCGCACCACACAACGTTCACATTCAAGTAACGCATTTCTTTGGGCTTTAATTAATGATGCTGCCTGGTCTACCCAAAAGAATCAAGTCGAGCAAATCGAATCGGTTCTGATTTTGTGGTTTATGTCCCGATTAATAATTGGGTCGAGACCGGTTATTGCTGTTCTGAATCCGATTGAATACTAATATATGGAGGTCTCCTGTTTTTTTTTTTTTTTTTTTAAATTTTGTTATAGCTTAAGGACAAATTTAATAGATAATATATATAATATGATTTTAGTTAAAACACTCGTTTCATCAATTATTAAGGTCATATATTATAATAGGATCTAATTGAGTCGGATCCTTTTCCTTAAGGCTGCGTGTGGTTGCAATGCAAATAAATTTGCACTGATGCAAAACCATGACAGTGCAAATGATTTGAGTGTAAATTCTGACCTTTTTTTGTTTCAAACTTTAGCTTATTTTGTGTGATTGCAGTATAAATGAAGTAAATTAACCCATAAAGCAGAATAAAGTAAAATTCAAAACAAAATTAAACAGTAATTTGCATTTTTTACATTTGTACTCCCACACATTTGTACTAGTGCAAATAAATTTGCACTGCAACCAAACAGAGACTAAGGCTCAGTTTGGAAGAGGTACAAATACAAATTTGTGGAGTACAAAACCTTGTATTTTGTATTATTTTTATGTATTTGCACTGTTTATATTTGTATTTGTACTCTTTCCAATCTGAGCACAAGGCTGTGTTTGGTTGCAATGCAAACAAATTTGTACTGGTGCAAAACTATGGCAGTGCAAATGATTTGAGTGTAAATTCTGATAAATTTTTGTTTCAAATTTTAGCTTATTTTGTTTGATTGCAGTAAAAATGAAGTAAATTAAGACATGAAGCAAAATAAAGTAAAACCTAAAACAAAGTGAAACAAGAATTTGCATATATTTTCATTTGCACTCCTCATGATTTGTAATTTTGTATCAGTGCAAATAAAATTGCACTGCAACCAAACACAGCCTAAAGTGTAAAAAAAAGTCTGATCCCATTATCTCAATTAATAATTGATTAGGTTTTGGGACAGTTTTTAGAACTGGGCTTTTGTCAAAATTTAAATGGACCCGGCCTGAAGGCCCCAAACTAAAGCAGAACCGCACCCCTATCTCTAAGATATCATATTCAAGCCCAAATGCACTTGACAGTGGCTGCTGCGGTGAAGGTAGATGAAAACATTTGCTAGTGTACCGAATCATTTACGCTTGTACTAGGGACAGTTTCATCCATCACTCTCAACCAAACTGTAGATACAGACAGACACTTGAGTCGCTACCATGGCTTCTTCTTGTTGTTTTGGTTTCTTTAAATAAAGAGTCACGAGCAACAAGAGAGCTTCATGTCAGTGGGTAGATTGGTTACAGAGGCTATAATTAAATGTGGGGTTGCAATATCAAAGGCTATCGTCTGTTATTTTGTGTTTTAGCCTTTTGAGGCCTATTTTCTATTTCTGTTTCTAAAAGAATCTGAAATGATTAGAATCATTTTTGCTTGGCAGAGAAGCTGGCTTTGTCTTTTGAAAATGGGCCAAGTAAACCCATAATTAGGAAACGTTTGAGTGAAGCAGTTGTGAAGCTACGCTACATCCTTCATAGGGACGAAAATTCTGGCTCCTTTTCCACATATTAGGCAAGAGGTTTGGGAGGGTTGATTGGGTAACCAGCCCCAGACCTGCCATTGTTGGGGTAGTTTTAGTGGTACTGAGTACAAAGGTTAGGTCAGATTTAGCCTTTAACTCATTCAGTTCGTGACATTCCATAATTCCCTTTCATTTGTTCTACAAGCCCACTTTGTAATTTTGATAAACTTCCCTTTTTCATGAATCGTTATTTTTTCTTTTCTAATTATGATTGATGGGCCGAAAATGTTCACTTGCCTGATCTTATTTATGAAAAAAAGACAAATTATGGGCCCTTAGTTATAATAAACACTAAATTGATTCATAAATAATTCTAGAAACGATTTGGGTGAATCAGTTCTTAGGTCGTAGGTGGGTTATACAGAATGCATACAGCTACCATGATTAAAGTATTGAGTGTTTGTGAAGGCCCATAGGGAGTAGTAACCCATATAAGTGTCAGAATTATTTCTTACTACAGATTTCACAACTAATAACTTCATCTGGAACCCCCCTCCTTCCACCAATAGAAGCCTGAAGCCATTTCTTCCCATGTAATTGTTTAGCAAAAGTCCAATGGAGACTATGTAGGCCACGTGGCTATAGCTACTCAGCTGAATATTCCTACATATGGAATGGTGAGGGGCTTCATCAACCTGATACATGGATCCCATGGAGGGAGAGAGAGAGAAGAATTTATTTTCATTTTACAAATGTTATCTATGATATTGATCTTCTTGATGTTATTTTTAATTTTTTAATGTATATGGGCCTTTTTCTACATATGGGCTGTATGAAGGTTTTGTGGGCCTTTGGAAGAAATACAAAAATAGAATGGATGGTGCTAGATTTGGTTGAATGCAAAACCAAAAAAGAAATCCAGTGAGCAGGGCAGAACAAATCATATTTGTAAGCATTCTTATTGTTTTGCTTAACTTGGAAAATAAACTGAAATAGTTGAGACTTGAGAAACATGCAAAAGATGACCCCGGAAGAATAGCCTTTTCTTGAAAACAATACTTACTGTTTGGAAAAATATCGTTTTCTATAACCATTTTATGAGCAACAAACACTGCAAAATATCAATTTTTTGGAATTTTTCTTCATTTTACAAGAGGACAAATTGATGCCTGACAACATTTTAGCTTGATTTTGACCTTAGACCTGATCTTAGGAGTGCATCTCTCCCCGCTCCAGATCAGATCTGCTGGTTAGTTGCCTCTTCGGCCATGTTTGGGGGTGCTTAAAAATAAATGCTTATTTGGTTTGGGATCACACTATTAAGCACTTATTGGTGTTTGGAAAATAAGCCTAAAATAAGTGCTTATTTTTAAGCCCAAATTTCTAGTTTTTATTAAGTATTTATACGATAAGCACTTATTCAAAATTTTCTTCCAAAATTATCCCTAGTTGAATTTTATTAAAGTGCTTTCATAAAAGTATTTTTATAAAATTACTTTCATAAAAGTGTTTTTATAAAAATACTTTTATACCTGCTTCAGTGCTTACAAGATTGTGCTCACATCTTTGGCACAACCTTTTGTAGCCATGCATTGAAAATATCTTTGTACCTGTATGCTTTTTTTCATGGGGAGATAGTCACAAGTCCCAATGTAAGGCTGCAAGGGACTGCGAATGGTGTCATGAGCATGGTCTTGGGGATCCACCAATGGATCACACTAACAGGTAACCAAGGAGTCCGCACATATCTCTCCTAAGCATTATCTGATTACCTGACTCCGAAGTTTCTAGCGGATTTGATTGATAATTCCCACATAAGCCGCATATTGGGAATATCTCCTGTACTCACATATTTTCAATGTATGACTGGATTCTCATGCTTTTATAGTGTGTGCAGAATTTTTAATTGCAGATAATCCCCTTATGCCTATGCTCTCCCCATCCCCCACCCAAGTTTGTTTTGCTTACTAAAAGGTTGAAGAAAAAGGGGTTACCTCACTGAAATGCTACATACAACCTTTTTATCTACCATATATGGATGATAGTTTTGATTGAAAGTGGTATACGTCTCCCTTTTACCTCAGTTCCTTAGCACTATATATCAATTTCTTGACCAATCAACTCCCCAATCCCTTCAAAAGAAAGAAAGATATATTAGGAAATTACGAAATATTAAACTTTTATTTACTAATTTAATCCAAAATAGACTTATTTGGATTGCTGAAGGTTCATTCAATGTGACTTGTGAAAGATCTATTTAATTTAAGGATAAATTGCAAACCACCACACTGTACTTGGGGGTAGTGGCACTTAGCCCCTCAAAATTTGTTTTGCAACAAAGACCTCCCTTGAACTTCTGGCTTGCAACACTTTCTCCCTGCTGTTGCATTCTATCAGTAAATTTCATGGAATATTCCTTTAAATATTTCGGAAACTCCAAATGCTTTATGATATTTTTATATAAAATAACGTACATTTTACCTCTTAACTTACTTTTTTCTAAAATTGTAGCTCCAGTGTTTCCATCCCTAAGGAGAACCAGTCACCTTGCGAGATCATGCCGATGTATATATCCAACATCTATTGTCCAATTTCTATGCCCTTGCCTACCCTTGTCTTAACTGCTTCTTTGATCTGAACTTGTACAAAATGTGAAATTCACCAATTTGACTAGTAAGGGCTCGTCCATATCTATAATAGTTTTATTCTAAGCGAGTACAAGGTAAGCTTTTCCACCAATTCGATCCAGTTCAATGCGAGTCAGTCCAAACTAGATCCAATCCAATCCAATGAATATTTTGGATCATTTTAAATAGGTACAATTCAATGTCTGAACCATCCAATCTGTTCAAATTCGTTTTAACTTAGATTGATTTCAATCCAAACCTGATCCATTGACACCTATATTCTTATCTTATAAGGATGAACCAGATATTAACTCAATCCAACCCAATCTAATATAAACTTATTACAGACAGACTAGGTCCAATCCAATCTAATAAATATTTGGACTAGATTTGTCCAATCCAACATCTTGTTGGTCCATCCAAATTGATTTTAGATCAAAACGGGGTCCAATCCAAAACCGGTCCATTGACACCCTTAGCTGTGAGTCTGACCCTTGAGCGCTGAACGTGTCTCGGTTTATAATTTCAACGCAAACTTTCCAGGTCACAAGGGCGTGTGCACGCACTTTTGGGTTTGTAGCAAATTATAGGTTATCTCTAGATAAGAAGGCATAATTACAATGAGAAATGACGAGTCAAAGTACAAAGCAGAATATATCATATTCATATATGTTAACCGCTTTGTGGCTTGTGAACAATGTTTGCTCTTTGCTCCGTTGAGAATGCTTAAGCATTTGTCATTGTCAGATGGCATTGTAAATATCCCCACATATCATAATGTTTCATTCTCATGCTACTCATCCCCTATTATCTGCTTTAAGAGGTCACAGGTAGATACTGGAACAGAAGTCTGAAAGCCAGGCGCACAACAAAAAGAAACACGTCTGTTTACATTCCATGAAATTGTGTAGTAAAATATCCAAGATTAGAAAAGAAGCTCCACATGTGAATGGAAGCCTTGAAAAGGAAAGCAGCTTCTCAAAATCTTATGGAAGCCTCTCTTGAGAAAATTACAAATAAATGAATTCTAAGGCTTTCGACAACAATCAGTGTGTATATCATCCCAACAAACTGCAAGGCCGAGGTTGTAGAATCAATCTGGCTTGTTGCTTGCGGGCTAGGAAATGCCATAGGTCTCCTAATAAAGAGGAAGGGGGAGCCGAAAGAAATGACAAGCTAAATGAAAAATGGAAGAGAAACAAACAACGGGAAGAGAATGTCTAACTTCTTTCCGTTTTTAGTCTCTTTGAAGCTTGATCCGAGTCCTCACCACTGCTGGCACCCTTAGAATGTGATACTGCCTGATTGCCGGTACAGTCTTCCTGATCCTTAGGCAAGAGGAAAGAAAAATTAAACCAAAATTCATGAGTTAAATAAGTTGCCATATGCATTCTTTTCCCGTATTTGTTGTACATATAAAAGCCTAATTTTTATTAGATACAAGGTATTTCTGCAAGCCTAATATAAACTCAGGTTCCAACAAATAATGAACATGGGATTGATTTACCAACTCTATTTAATAGATTCCTTAAAAGTCAAAATTATTGTCCCGTATCCTGTTATGAGGTGAGTTAAGATTTGCCATGCCAGCTACTCAAACCCATTAAATAGAATACAAACTGACTGGGACGAACCAAGAAAGGATAAAAGCTTCACCCCATTTGAGCACTATACATGTACAGTGGAACTTATTTAGTTGACATATGGATCTGAAAAAAATTTTGGAATCAGTAACCCCAATAAGTCTGACTATGCATGGGCACATACTAATTTAAATGGGAATGCCAAATAATTCTTTATTTTACAATTTCACATATGCTAAATCCAACTACACCAAAGAAAATATCTGCCATTGTCCCCTTCCCTCCTGGGGCATAGGGAAATGATATACTCTTGAGAAAAAGAACAGCCAAAATACCCAAATTCACATACCTTGGCACTCGATGTCATGCCTGCCAGTCTACTAACTGCTCGCTTCCCAAGATCAATCTGCACTGAGATGCTAGCTTGTGATAGATCCACACCTGAGCACTGTAGTGCTTGCGTTAAATTATTCAACAACCTGCAACACATTAGAGATTTACAGTCTAACATCAGATTTAAAAGTGGTAACAACTGACATAGAGTTTTGTTGAACAGAAACTGTATTTGCTGAAGACTGGAAGATTTTACAGGTCCAAATATTATTAGTCTACAAGAATTCTAGGTAAAGTTGGAAATACTCAAGCTTACCTTGTGGCATAAGCCCACTAACAGTAGTCAATGGAAATGATTTAAATGAACTTTCCCAAAGACATTGAACTAATGCTGTCTTGAAATGTAGAAAAAAATACAAGAGGGACCATGGACCACTTGCATATGGAAACTCACCCTTGCGAATAGGCACTTGATATGCTGATTGTCCCTTCTTCAATAGTCACCTCCTCCTGTTCATTCACTGTATCACTTGTGGCAGGGCAATCAGTTGTGCATGTTCTGCTCTGCCACAACTGGGTTTGTTGCTGAGAAGCCATATTGTCTGCATCTGAAAAGGGTCTTTGGGATGGTTGGGCAAGCACAGCACCTCTTACCACAGGAGTGAGCATATTTGGTTGAAAGGAAATAGGCATAGGTACTCCTTTGTTTGTTAGCCCAGCATGATGATCCATTATTTTGTTTGCACCACCTGCCCTCAAGTCAGCATCTACTGCATTCTGAGCATTTGCGAGCATGGGTGGAGTGATGGCAATGTTATTGTCAAACATTAACCCTGGACCAGGTCCATTCTTTAGCACTTGAGAATGATCAATCATAGTTTCTCCAGGCCTGCGGATATTTCTCTGTGTTGAACAATGAATAAACACTCAAGCAGTTAAGTTCTCAACCATCTCCTTTTTTTTTTGAAGAAAGGTAACATTTTCATTAGGCTCAGTTTGGAAGGAGTACAAATACAAATATGCACGGTGCAAATACATACAAAATAATACAAAATACAAGGTTTTGCACTCTACATATTTGTGTTTGTACTTTTTCCAAACTAAGCCTTGAACAAAAAGGGAGGGATGTACAAAATCAAAGGCCTTGAAAACAAAAAGGAGCAAGGCCAACATTAAAAAATTGGCAATGTATTTGCACTGTATAAAGATTCCATTCTCAACCATATTTAGCTAAACTAGCTAAGAACCATAAATTTTTTTTTATCAGAAACGAATAACAAACATACAAGAAAACATGGCAATACAGTCCTGCACTAGCACCTGGGATTAGAGACTTGCTGAACTGCACACCCTATCTGGGCATAGTGCAGCAAGCAAGCAGATCCCCGCCTGATTGACACCAAATATAGGTAACACTTGACCCCAGGGTTAGCAAACATTCCAACATGCCTGACCCAAATGCACATAAAAAATTAATGTGTAGTGAAAATAAAGTTAATCAGATTTTTACCCATGGCACCAACTTTGTGGGCTCCTGATTCCATCCGGGAAATGCCGTCTCATATTTATTCACCTTTTCCTGTAAAAACTGAATGTATTCTATGACCTGCATTAAGTTGTAGATATGCTGTCAAAAATTAAAGAATTTAAATTGTTCTCCAATATATCAACAATAGAATAAAATGAGGAACCCAATGTTGGTCCCATCTATCTGGGGGGTCTTCGGAGGTGTGGACTGGATATGGTCCTAACAATAGAATAAAAAATATTTTATACAAAACTAAGTAATATATTTATTCAAATTATGGTAATTTACCTCTAATAGGAAGGATGCTTTATCTCTCTTTTGATCACTCTGGGGTATGAGATCTCTTAGTATCTGGAATCTGTCCAACAAATTAAAAAATCATCAGGTTGAGTGAGAAAAGGAGCTACTTTGCTAGAAGGAAGAATCTTAATGTCTAACAAAAGATCAAACGTGTTATGCACTCAAACTACCTAATTAAGAAAAAGAAGTAGCATATTCTTTTTTTTTTTGATAAGTAGCATATTCATTAGACAACAATTTTCACTATTCAATAAAAAAACTAATCCACTTTCTGGTATCAATAACAGAACTACAGGGATACCAACTAGGAAATAAGTATGTAAATGGCAGAAAGAACCAACATTGCAAGTTTTACTCTTTGGATGTACGTCTTGGGGCTCTATATTGGATTCATTCACCACATTTGACACTGGTCCAGAAATTATGAGCAAACAAGAGAGGTACAGATGCAGTTCGGAGCATCATTAAGATTTCACAAGAATGTCATAGCCTATCTGTTTTTTCATCAGTTAGACTAAGATTTGCAAAATGAGACATGGGAAAAAGTTAAACAATTGCCGTCAAGACCTATTACTAAAAACGGATGAAGGTCACTTGATAGAGTAAAAACTTGTGATATTTAGACTGGGCCAAACATACTGAAATAAATTTTACTATTGCAATAGGAAATCAATTTCAACATCATGACCAATCAAAGGATTACAACAAGGACAAATCAATCTTAAATATGGGTTTTACACAATAAATATTTCCAAGAACAGGAGTTCGAAAGATCTGCAATAAACAATTAAATTGTTACTGAAAAAGGATTAGAAGAAACACAAGAAGGCAAAAGGTGAACAGGCTTGGATATTATATCGCTCCTGTTGTGTGACCAGAGCAATGGGAGAGGACACTGATTGTGTAATGTAACTTGGAAGTAGCCATGGTGTTGATGATGTAGATAATTGGCAGATTCTAGAAATGAGCAAACTAGAAGCTGGAAGAAATCATGTCTACCATCAATTCACCAATAGGTTTATGCCCAGTAGATGTCCAACCACATTTTCATCTGACATGTCAATTCTTTTCAATTACATGCACTAAGAATAGCTGGAGCAACATTTAGATGGTTTTTCCTCCCTTTTTTGTGGTCGGAGGCATGGGATGTCGAAATTCAGAACCGGAACCATTAAGTGAGGTTGTCATCAATAGGCAACAGAGTCTCCTTAAACCATGAGCAAAGAAGATCAAGATTACTGAAGGAATTTAAACTTAGGTGGTATTAAAGACATACTACAACCAAGTTTGACATAAAATCATATATGTGAGGATGATAGAACTTGCCTGTCATTAATCTTGCTCCTTCTCCGCTGCTCTGTGGCAGAATGCTTTGATCGTGGTGTGACAGGCTTCTGGTCGGTGCTCTTCCCGTCCACCTTTACAGTTAAGTCGCCTGAACGAAGTTGAATATTTTAAAATATGAAAAAGAAAAGAATTGTAAAGCTGTCCATAAAAGAACTGGTCCCCAAATCTATCCCTTTAGATGGAAACTATATCACAACATAGTTTCAGAATACAAAATTGAATAACTGGTGACCCCAAAATAAAATATGTCCTTAACATGCACTCAATAAAACACACGAGTTAAGCAGCAAACAGATAGCTCCGAGAAAAGAAAACAAGGAGAAATCTTTTTTTATCGTCGTACATTAGACCTCCGCAGTAGGATTATACTGAATTCTAAAGGTGCGTAAGTAACATACCTTTCTGGGAAGGAGCGTCTCTCTTGGAAATGAACTCTTCCTCATCGTCTTCTTCCTCTTCCTGATGACCCTTGGCCGACTTCATCATACCCACGAAGCTCTGGGTTTTCTGTCCCGAATGCCTTCAAAAATTCAACGAGCCCCAAAAAAACTTAGGAAAAATGGAACACCTGGATAAGATCTTAAGAACAAGGGTAAGAAGAGGGAAAGAAGGCCACCAACTTGGAGGATGACTGAGAGCTGAAGCTGTTGCTGTGGATGAAAGGGGTCTGTAATTGCCGCTCCGACGACCACTGCCCTACCTTCTCCGCCGGCTCTGTGGAAAAAAATAAGAGAGAGATGATGCCCTAGGTGTTCTTAGTTAATTTCTTTTGATCAATGCTAACGTGCGCGGTGTTGGCGATGCTTCTCCAACCTGCGCTACAGCTACACTCGGAATTGATGTAAAGACTTTTAGATCTGGTTTATGGGGTCTTTTCGGTTCCGGATCCCTGGGCGGTGGTTGACTTGGGCCTACCCTACAGCCTACAAGCTACAGACGCTGCAAAGCAATTGCAAAGAAAAAAAAAACTAATAATAGAATAATAATTGGTGGAAGGCGCAGAGTGCACTTCCTTAACCGGTGCCCACGGCTTACGTTAGAATTTGGAATAACTGATGTGCATCACGTGTTTGGCAAGTGGGCTCTCGTGACCGTGAACTGGAAAATGTCTACTACTCTACTTGTACACCTGGCATTACGACAAACCAGGAAGATAATTACGAAAGCGAAGAGGGAGAGGAGTGGGTGGGGGACGGAAAGAAAAGTGACCTGCTTCTACTTTTCCCTTTTTTTTTTTTAATTTTAAGAAACAAATAAAAACTACCATCAACTAATATCTGATTAGACTTTACACATGCCTGCTCCTCTTCATCAGAACTCAGAAGGGGCCGGCACCTCAGACCTCCGTTTGCACTGAATTGCCTTTTTTCTTCACATCCTCATCTCTCCACTGCCCATTGTTACAGGGCCTGGTTTTACAAATTTAACGCCAAAATTTCTTTCTTTTTTCCTCGAATAGCACAGTTGCCGGTTAAAGAGGACAAAAAAATGAAAAAGGGTGTAAAGGACAGTTAATGTAATTATTACAGATTAAGTGGAAGCCTTAGGCAACACTCATTTTGCAGCAGGGTGACTGACTAACTGACGGTTATCCTTCTATATCTAAAAATGGAGACACACAATGATAACGTGTGGGTGTGGCCACCCTATTAGAGAAACAGTAGAAGTAATTATCGATTTAAAGAGGAGTCCTCAATCAGCCAACCGTCACCCCCCCCCTGTTTCTAATTTCACCCCGTTTTACGTGGGTGATGAGCTCACCGGAATAAGCCGACTGTTCACCCAAGAATAAACCATGCCATGCACGATGTGATTTTTTAAGTACATAGCCCTAAAGTCTAGACCCAAGTGACAAACAATAATGGCTAGTGTATGCCATGAATGATAATTTATTTAGTTTATCCTATTTCCTTGACTTTTTTTTTCTTCCCCCAATTTGAGAATCATTATTATTATAATTAAAAGGTTAAAATAGAACTTATTGGATAATTGTTACCCAAGAACGAATCTCTGTTTCCCTGGTTTTTATAGAGCCCATCAAAAGGTGACTACCATATCATGATGGATCCCACCCATGACATATGACATTGTAGTTGTAGGCTTATAACAGTACAATACATTGCACTCTCCCGAGGAAGAGAAAAACATTGATCGGACCCACCGGAAAATGGTGAGTTTGAGCCACATGTGATGCTACTGCTACCTACGTACAGGCCATATCAATGCAAAGACTAAAACACGTGACTTTATAATTGCGCAAGTTAAGGAGGCTGACTTTTCGAGCTCTGTGTGTGTGTGTGGCCAACCTCCGCTGCCGCTGGTGGCTTGAAATCCACTTTTTAATCCTGTCGTTAACCAAACAAATTAAGGCTCTATACCACGTAAAGCGGGATGTAAGCAAGGAGCTTTGTTTTATATTTACACTGGCACTCTCTTTCTTTGTTTCTTTCTCTTTTTTTCCCTTCCGACGGCCGAGCTACTGTCAGTTGTAACATTTTTTCTTCTTTTCATGACCTCTCACTAGTGTGGAACACATGAACATCTTTTCGTGTGTTTCACAAATAGGAGAAAAGGGGATCCGGTACATTGCAACCTACCAACTGAAAAGAATTTG